GAATCCTTAGGATTCTATTGGATCCTAAGGCCGTTGCCGCTGCGACTGTCATTGCGAATGCGACTGCGACTGCGAGAACAGCAGAATTCTACAACTGGATTCTCACCTGAATCTTAAGGGGATGCTTCCAGATATGCTTATACACATCGCTGTTAGGTTGCTTTGCTGGGATAATCATGACGGGAGTTTTTTCGCCATTTTCGGCCTCTGGGGGCCCTCTTGGGCTTCGGGAGCGTCAAGAAACGGCTCAGGATGACACGCCAGTCCTGGGGAAGGGGTCGAGAACTCTGGGGTCGACGTGCTGAAAAATTAGCGCAGGGCCTCGCGTTGTGGCTTCTTTCCGCGGCGCGAGGAGGTCTCGGCTGGCCCTGCTTCTCGCCCCGCGACTGCCCGCACTGGCGGAGCCCGCGCTGCCTGGCCCAAGGCTAATTCTTCGGCACCGCGAGCGAGCCCCCCTCCCCCCCCTCCCCTCCTCCCCGTTCGCGGGGGGGGCGGCGCGCCGCGCGCAGGCGGTTCCCCCCCCCCCCCTGCCCCCCTGCCCCCCCCGCTCCCATTCCTGCACCCCCCCGCTTTGGGCTTTTCGACCGACGCTGCGACGAGGACTTCGTGCTTGCGAGAAGCAGTGGGCAAGAAGCAAGCTCACGACAACAAGGCGACCGCACTGAGCAGACAACTAGCATCGCTCGCCTCCATCAGGCCAGAGCCCCATCAAGCGCCAGCTAAATTCCAGGGCGGGCGCGGGCGCTCGAGCAACAGCGGCAGAGGCCACGCGGCGACATTCACCACACGCCTGCTTGAAGTACTGAACACATGCAGCAGAGACGATTCAACCGACGTTGCGCAGACGACCGAACGCTTGCGAGGGGCAATCTGCACGGCAGCCAACTCACGACAACACGGCGAGCGCACTGGGCAGACCAAAAGCATCGCACTCGACCTCGCACGCAGAGGTGGCCCGCAGGCCGCACCTCGATGCCCCGCCCCCCACCGGCCACGACGAGCGAGGGGCCCCACCACTCCCGCTGGCACGCGCGCAGAAGCGCGCGGCAGCGCGAGCAGAACCGCCAAGGCACGCAGGAGCGAGCGCGCCGCGGCGCGCCTTGCTCCTCCGCTTCACCCTCCTCCTGCTCGCTCCTCCTGCTCGCTCCTCCTCCGCGGCTCGCGGCTTCTGCCGCGGGGGCCTCCGCGGGACACGCGGCGTCCGGCGAGGGCCCAGAGCTCACCTGCAACCCGCGCGCCGACCCGGGGCGGCTTCTTTCCGGGAGGGGCGGCGGGGGGGCACTCTCCTCCTCCTCCTCCTCCTCCTCCTCCTCCTCCTCCTCCTCCTCCTCCTCCTCCTCCTCCTCCTCCTCCTCCTCCTCCTCCCCCTCAGGGCGTCTGGTCCTCGCCGTGGCGGGCCCTGCTCCGTCCGTGCGCGGACCACGGGCCCAGCCTCGCGAGGACCGCGGCCCCGGCGAAAGGCCTCTGCCTTTTGCCCGTCCTTCTCGGCTCTGGCAGGCGCTGGGCGCGGACCGCGGCCGCGGGCCGGTTGCCCTGGCTTCGCCTGGCGGGTCGGCGTGTCTGTGCCGCTCGGGGAGCGGCGCTCCCCCGCGGGGGCGTGGCCCTTCTTCTCTGCGATGGCGCGTTCCGCCGCCGCGCCTCGTGGGTCGCCGGCCGTCCGTGTGCGAGTGCGTGCGTCATCGGCCTCTTCGAGTCGCCCTGCGTGGTCCTCCCATCTGCGACGTTTGGTGGACCTGACGCTGAGCCTGCCCCGCCTCGGCCGCTGGAGTCAGACGGTTTTGGCCTATCGTCGGCCTGTGTGTCCCGGTTTTGCTCCTCTGGGTTCGTCGGCGTGCGCTTGTATTTGTGCTGCCGCCTCTCTTCCTTCTTCCCACTCTTCTTGCATGCGGGACAATTCGCAATGCCGCAGCCAGGGCTGCTCGACGCGCGAGCGGATCGCCTCTGTCGCGCCGCGACGGAAGAGTGTGCGCTCGTAACTTGGCAGAGCCCTCAGCGCGTGGCCTCCCAGCGGGGTCAGGTCCAGCCTCGCCGAAGGCCCCAGCGGGTGCGTTCGCATGCGGTCCCCCTTCCCATGGCGGCACACTCCTCACACGTTTCGTGGTCCCCAGAGGGAGCTCTACCTGAGCCATAGGGAGCTCCTCCTAAGGCCCAAGTGGCTGCGTTTACGTGTGGTCCCCCGCCAATTTCGGCACACCTCTCACACGTTTCGTGGCCTCATAGCGGGCTCCACCTAAGGCAGCACTGGGTGCGTTCACGTGCGGTTCTCCCGCCCATGTCGGAGCGCGCCTCACGCGTTTCGTGGCCCCAACAGGGGCTCCACCTGAGGTCCCAGTGGGTGCGTTCACGTGCGGTCCTTCCGCTCATGCCGGCACAGCCCTCACACGTTCCGTGGCCTCATGAAGGGGGCTCCACCTGAGGCCCCAATGGGGGCGTTCACATGCGGCCCCCCGCCCGTTTCTGCACATCCCTCATGCGTTCCGTGGCCTACCGGGAAGCTCCACCTCAGGCCGCAGTGGGTGCGTCCACATGTGGCTCCCCGCCCGTTTCGGCACGCCCGTCAGACGTTTCGTGGGCCCATAGGGAGCTCATCCCTTTTCGTCCCACCTGCCTTGTGGTACTCACTCTTGTACATGGTTGGGCCTATCGGTGGCGCAGGCTCCCCACGAACAGACGCGTGTGCCACTGCGGTCGTTTCTTCTCATGCTCTCGTAGTTTCCTCCTCGAGTTTCCTTCGGTTTCCTCGATGCTCCGCGGTTTCCGCGACTTCCTCGTAGTTTTGAATCGGGGTGTTTTTTTCCTCGATTGGCCTCTGGGGCCCGCCGTCTGGCCCCAGGACAAAACAGCATCAAGCGTGGACGGGAGGAGTACCTCTACAGGTCGGGCATGTCCTCCTACAGCGGGGTTCTGGGGCGGACAAAAACAAGGTAATCAAGCATCCTCCCTTAGAGGGACATGCCCGACTGAACAGTATCTCCAGAGCAGCGGTCGGGCCCTCTGAGGCCGCCGATGCAAAACATCAGGTCGGCGGGCCCCTCCTGGTCCAAGCGGGGCCATCGCTGAGGCATGCCGTGCAGGGGCGAGCCAGATCCTACCGAGTATGGGGAAAGCGAGTGGGGCTGAGACGCGCCCGTGCTGAAGCCAGAAATCCGACGCCCCGAACAAAGAGGAGGAGGAGGAGGAGGAGGAGGAGGAGGAGGAGGAGGAGGAGGAGGAGGAGGAGGAGGAGGAGGAGGAGGAGGAGGAGGCGGAGGCGGAGGAGGCGGAGGCGGAGGCGGAGGCGGAGGGCGGAGGAGGAGAGGTGGAGGCGGCGGAGGAGGCGGAGGAGGCGGAGGAGGCGGAGGAGGCGGAGGAGGCGGAGGAGGAGGCGGAGGAGGCGGAGGAGGCGGAGGAGGCGGAGGAGGAGGCGGAGGAGGCGGAGGCGGAGGCGGAGGAGGCGGAGGAGGCGGAGGAGGCGGAGGAGGCGGAGGGAGGAGGCGGATGAGGAGGAGGAGGGAGGAAGGGAGAGGAGGATGAGGGGGAGGATGAGGAGGATGAGGAGGATGAGGAGGATGAGGAGGAGCTTGCAAGATTATGCAACACTGCGACGCCAGCTGCCATCGTATCTGCACGGAGCACATGGTGTCAGGGCAGTGCCACCAGCAGGATCGGTGCCGCGATCGTCGTCGTCGTCGTCGTCGTCGTCGTCGTCGTCGTCGTCGTCGTCGTCGTCGTCGTCATCGGCATCCGTGGTGGGTGTTGGTTCAAGCGGCACGAGCCAAGCCTGGCAGGCTTTGCGCGAACCGCGAGATCCAAGATAGACGTGTGTTCGTACCAGACCCGTCCTCGCTTGATAGAGACCAGTTGTGGCACCGACCATGGCTGAGCACGTCCAAGGAATCGTTGCTGTCCTTTTCCTCGTGGCCTCGGTGCCTGTCCTTCTTTTGCAGGAGAAGTTCACGATTAAGTTCACCCCTGGCCCAGTGACCCTCGCGAGCCGCCAGGAGGGGGACAAGCTGGCCAAGGAGCTGCAAGCTTTGAGCCAGAAGGTGTCTGCCCTCAAGCAGGAGCGCGCCATCGAGGGCGCGGAGGTGAGTGCGAGCAGGGCGGATAGCCGCAGGCTCCTCCTCGACAATGAGACCCGCAAGCTGGAGCACGGTGTCGACCGCATTTGGGGAACCAAGAGTGCCCCACGTCGCTTGAGCGACAACTCTGGTTGGACGCTTCTCCTCAGCACCAATCTGGCTAGCAACTCGATTGGGGACTTCGCAAGTGGCGCCCAGGTGGGGTCCCTGGGGAGTTCCGCCACTTCGGACTACCGTATCGGGAAGACTGGCGCGCAGCTTCAGAGTGAGGGCATGAACGGCATTCGCGTGACCACCACGTCTGGATATTCTTTCCAGTACGAAGGTCTCTTGTTTCCCTCGGGCTTCGACAACACGTGCACGACCTGCAACTGCCAGGGCAAAAGCATCGGTAGCGGCTTCTGGTGGCACGGCGGACGCGGCGGCTGCTACGGCTCGACGCATTTCGGGCTCAAGAGGGAAGCCGACGTGCACAGCGTCTGCAACGACGGCAACGCGGATGACTCCGCCTGGGGCCACTTTCACCGGTCGGGCGTGGACACGGGCGTGTACTTCTTTGGCGACGTGTGCATCAACGAGAACGAGTGGCAGGAGCGGTTCTTCTTCTGGGGACGCCAGCCGATGCCGGCGAGCTCGGGCGCGACCGCGGCCGCCGTACAGTCGCCGTCGGCCCTGCAGCGCAGGGCCGTGTACACGCGGTGGGGCTCGAAGTCGTGCCCAGAGGGGTCCGTGACGCTGTACTCGGGCTTCATGTCTGCTTCCCATTACACACATTCTGGCAGTGGGTACAACATGCTGTGCATGCACCCCAGCCCCCAGCTGCCCTCTGGCCACGACGCAGCTAACAACGACGGCGCACTCCTGTACGGCGTGGAGTATGAGAATACTGGTGCCATTGACATGCACCATGACTACGACGCTGCTTGCGCCGTTTGTCAGTGGCAGAATGGTGCAACGGTTTTCGTCGAATGGGGCAACGCTGAGTCGCGCCACAATCCGTCCACGCCGAAGACGTGTTCGAACCCGTCGCACGAGATGATTTACACTGGCCTCATCATGAGCGAAAAATACGACCATAGAAAGGGCGAGTTTATCTGCGTGGACCTCGAGCGCGATTATGTCGGCGAAGCAGCTCAGTCGGACGATAACCACAACGGAGGTCTTCTGTACACGACGGAAATGGAGCAAGGTGCAGCAGACGAACATTCATATCCACATGATCGCGAGGTGGGCTGTACAGTGTGCGGCATTCCTGGCAAGAGCGTAAACGCCGACGGGAGGGTCACCGTCACGCCGGAGTCGGAGACCGCCGTATTCACTGTGTGGGGTAAGAAGCAATGTCCAGGTGAAGGGGTATCATCAGAGCAATTGTACACTGGTTTCGTCGCAGGGTCCCACTACAATCACGGTGGCTCAGGTGCAAACCAGATCTGCATGACTACGAGCAATCCGAATGCTCCGAGCGGATTCAGTGACGGGAACCAGAACGGAGCTCTTCTCTACGGCGCGGAGTACCAGAATACAGGCGCCATCGATGCTAATCATGATGGAGACGCGGCGTGCGTGGTGTGCCGTTACCTAACCCCGCACAGGGACGTGTACGTGCAGTGGGGGCGCAGCAGTTCTTGCAGCAACTCTCACGCCGCTGTCTACAAGGGCTTCTCCATGGGCGAGAGATTCACCCATCACAGGAGCACGCGCGTGTGCGTTCACACTGCCCGTGAGATGCATGCGCGGTCGAGCTGGTCGGATCACAACGGGGCTCTCTTGTACACCACGGAGCTTGAGATGTCCGTCTCAGGGGTGGCTGTAAATACTGAGGTGGGTTGCTCATCGTGTGCTGGAACTCGGCGAGCGACGAGAGCTACGCACACACCGATCCTGGCCAGGCCCATCCTTGGCCCGAATCGGTGCCTCTGCCTCCGTGGCCAAGCCAGGAGGGCGTATGCACCGATCCTGGGCTCAGGATTAGCTTGGCCAGGATCAGGGTATGTTCACAGCTCTTGTCCGTCTAGGAGCTGGTGGCAAGTCGGTTTACACCAGGTGGGGTTCCCGGTCCTGCCCCGTCGGCAGCTTTGTGTTGTACGAGGGGACCATGATGGCCAACCATTACTCCCACCGCGGGGGGGGCGCGAACACCATATGCATGCACCCGCAGATGCAGAATCCAGCAGGCCCTCGAAGACGAGCAAGAAAGCTTACCCAGGGACGTACCAAACCAATCCGACACGAAAGACAATGACTCTCACGGACATGCAATCCTCTCGCAAGCTATATTGTTAGCTGCTGCATCGATCGTCGCATGCGATCACGCCGTGGCGGCATTCCAATGTGTGGCATTCACTTGGACCCCCTGGGGATTTGGATCAGGGGTAGGATGACGCAGAGGATCAGGATGAGGAAACATTCAAGAGAAAAGAGAAGGAGGATGATAAGCATCGGAGGACACGGACGAGAAGGAGGCAGAGAAGGATAAGGAGGATGTGAAGAACTGGGAGTTGTGAGAACAGCCGAGAGAGATAAAGTATCCGGGCGAAGGGCACAACCATATGCAGTTGTGACTACCGCCGTTGTGAGAGTTGCCTTCGGTGGAGCTCCCTACGGGCACAAAGCGCGCGAAGGGTGCGCCGCAATGGGGCGGTGCCGCTATGCGGTCGCTGCCGCTGGGGCCTTGTGGAGCTCCCTATGGGGTCACGAAGCGTAATGCGGGGTGTGCCGCAGTGGGGGGAGGGCGGCATGCAATTCATGCCGCTGCGGCCTTCGGTGGAGCTCCCTGTGTCGCAACGAATCGTGTGAGGGGTGTGCCACATGAGGTGGACGGCATGCGAACCATGCCACTGGGGCCTTCGGTGGAGTTCCCCGTGGGGCCACGAAGCGTGTGAGGGGTGTGCCAAACTGGAGGGGGGCGACATGCGAACTATGCCACTGGGGCCTTCGGTGGAGCTCCGTATGGGGCCACGAAACATCTGAGGGGTGTGCCAACGTGGAGGGAGTTCGTCATGCGAACCATGCCAGTGGGGCCTTCGGTGGAGCCGCGAAACGTGTTAGTGCTGTGCCAAAGTGGATGGGGTGCGGCATGCGAACAATGCCACTGGTGCCTTCGGTGGAGCTCCCTGTGGGGCCACGAAACGTGTGAGGGGTGTGCCAAAGAGGAGGGGGGCGGCATGCGAACCGTGCCACTGAGGCCTTCGGTGGAGCTCCCTATGGGGCCACGAAGCGTGTGATGGATGTGCCAAACTTGAGGGGGCGGCATGCGAACCATGCCACTGTGGCCGTCGGTGAACCTCCCGATGGGGCCACGAAACGTGCGAGGGGTGTGCCAAAGTGGAGGAGTGCGGCATGCAAACCATGTCACTGCGGCCTTCGGTGAAGCTCCCGATGAGGCCACGAAACGTGTGCGCAGTGTGCCAAAGTGGAGGGGGGGCAGCATGCGAACCATGCCAGTGGGGCCTTCGGTGCAGCTCCTTATGGGGCCACGAATCGTGCAAGGGGTGTGCCAAAGAGAGGGAGGTGACGGGAAGAGGGACGAGGGAGGAGGAGGAGGAGGAGGAGAGGAGGAGGAGAGGCGACGCGGGGACTGTCTCTTCAAAAAAGGACCCAACTCAACAAAGGATTGGTTGGAACAACTCATTCATTCGCGCGTAGAAGATACCAAGGACGTGGGGCAGAAAGCTGCGTCGACCATTACTGCCAACAGTGTTTCGTGCAGTGACCAAGACATGCAGGATCGCTGACAGGCCGAGATCGCGCGCCAGCGCTGGCGAGAGTCGTTTGAGCTTGCGCACGATCGCACCGCGCTGACCCCCCCCGATTGGACGCACCTGGGAGGTGAGGCCACGTTGTGGTCTGCGCAGGACCGCACTCCGCCAGACCTCACGACCGTGGCGGCGGTTGCCCACTCGGCAGCCCCCCCGGGGAGGGCGAGGGCCCTTGCTGGGCCGGCGCGGGGCCGCGTTCCGCTGGACCTCCTCGGTGCCCACGAGCCTGGCGACACTTGCGCACATGTCGGCACCCAGGGAGGGAGACGCCCCGCCTGCGTGTGGGAGGCACAGCACTCCGCTGGACCTCCCAGGAGTTCACAGAGGCGGCGACCGCTGCGCGCCTGGCGGCTCGCCGGGAGGGCGAGGGAGAGCAGGCGAGGAGGAAGCAGGGAGCGTGCAGCCGGGGAGCGAGGAGGGAGAGAGGAGGGGAGAAGGGGGGCGGGAGTGAGGTCCAACACAGCTCTGTTCAAAACAGAGAAGCCCACTGCAGGATGTCTGGGAGCAAGGGTAGACTCGGACGGCCTTGTGGGTTCCTCGTGTCAGCCCTGGACCTCTTTCCCCGCGCCCCTGGCGGCGCCTCTGACGCCGCCCCGAGCGCGCTCTGCTCGCCAGGGGCGGGGTGTGGGCAGAGGGATTCAGCGCCGACCCACGAAATCTGCGCGGACCTTCTGCAAGTTTACGCCGATGCAGTGCTTGGCACTGCAGGGGCATCCACGGGCAACCAGGATGGCGACTTGCTGTACAAGATGGAGTACGAGAACACTGGAGCGATCGATGCCAACCATGATCACGAGGCCGCATGTGCCGTCTGCGAACTGGGTCATTGGGAATCAGTCTACACGCAGTGGGGGCGGAGCACGACCTGCACGAACGGGCACCAGACATTGTATACTGGCTTTATCATGGCCGAGCGTTACAACCATAACAAGGGAGAATTCTTATGTGTCGATTCCGAGAGGGCGGTGATCGCGAGCTCAAACAGCGGCAACCAAAATGGGGGCCTCCTCTATTCGAGACGCTTCGCATTCACCGCCCGCCATTTTTTTCGTAGTTCTCGCTTGACGAGCCGAAGATGGCTTTCAAGACGGGTTGAATGCATGCCGAACGAGGTCCAAGACGGCCAGTGCAGAACGGCCCCAAGACGGCTCAACCTCCGCGAAGACGGCCCAGGAGGCACCCAAGTCCCAAGCGGGCCACACAATGTGAACGATGGACCCGAGGCGGCCCAGGAATTCGAGTAGACGGCCCCAGCGCGAACATCTCCATGTGTGGGCCCAGATCGGAGCTGGCTCGGGCCCCATTCCGGGGTGGAGGAGGAGGAGGAGGAGGAGGAGGAGGAGGAGGAGGAGGAGGACCCCGCAGCGTCTCCTACATGGCGGAGGAGGTTCTTTTGCACGCGCATCCCGGCGCAGGGGAGCCCGAACTGCGGCAGGCCTCTCCCGGAGGCTCCCGGAGGCTCCCGAAGCCCAGGCTGTAAGTTTGGCGGGTCTGGGACGGTCGCGAGCCCTGTGGCTGGTTGCCAGCCCGACGATCGGCCACAACCTCGGCCATCCTCCCGGCCCCGCACCTCGGCCCGTGTGGTAAAGGGACCCACCCTCAACCCCTCCTCCTCCTCCTTCCTCCCTCCTCCTCCTCCTCCACCTCCTCCTCCTCCTTTTCCACCTCCTCCTCCTCCTCCTCCTCCTTGGCCGTGCTCCCGGCCGCCGCGACAGTTCGCCCCGGCTCGGCCTTGAAACTACTTCGCCCGGACTGCCGGGGCCCCCGCGTGCGCCGCAGAGTTGCGGACCCCCCCGGGGCTCACGATCGATGGACTCCCAGGGGGCGCACCCGGACAGTCACCGGCCTCCATGGCTTGGGCGTCGCGTAATGGGGGGGTCATAAATGGGGGGGTGGCGAGGGTGGTTCGAAAAGGTACCCAAACGGTACCTAAACGAGCCCCCTGGGGCTCTGGAGGGGCCCGAAATGGGCACGAAAGGGGACCTTTTCTGACCCCCCCGTTTATGACCCCCCCAGTAAGCTATGCCCAAATGGCCTCGAGAAGAAGCCCAGGGCGAAGTCTTTGTCTGCAGTCTTTGCTCTCTCTCTCTTTTTACGCAGGGGCCTCGGCGGGCCCCAGGGCCCTCGACCGACGACCCGGGCCGAAGAGCCGACCTCCTCCTCCTCCTCCTCCTCCGCCCTCCTCCCTCCTCCTCCTCCTCCGCCCTCCTCCCTCCTCCTCCTCCTCCTCCTCCTCCTCCTCCAAGCGGTCCAGATCTCAGAAGACCCCTGCATGCGTGCACTCCTGCAGCAAAGCATGCGGGGACGTATCGCAACCGTGCGCCGTGCTGGCACGGCAGCGATGCTCCGCACAAGCGTGATAAAAAAAAACTCCGAACACCTGTTCGGAGTTTTTTCTTGTTGCAGTTCTTCATCACCCTTGTTCGGAGCATCGTTGCCGTGCCAGCACAGCGCATCATTGCGAGACTCAAGACGTCGGGTGTCCGGGAACCCCATGCGTACAGTCTTCTCGCCGAGACCCAGCCTGCAAGAGTTTTTCTCCACATCCTAAGTGGGGTTCTTGTTTTCTCTGGACACCCCGCGCAGTCCTCCCTCACCCCCTCTCTCCCTCGTCATCAATTTCCCTCACTCACTCCGTCACTCATCATTATCATCATCATCACCACCACCATCATCATCATTATCATTATCATTATCATTATCATGATCGTGATCATTATCAGTATCATTACCATTATCAATATCATTATCATTATCATTCTCATTCCCATTCTCATTCTCATTATCATTATCATTATCATTCTCGTTCTCATTCTCATTATCATTCTCATTCTCATTCTCATTCTCATTCTCATTCTCATTTTCATTTTCATTTTCATTATCATTCTCATTATCAATATCATTATCATTATCATTATCATTATCATTATCATTATCATTATCATTATCATTATCATTATCATTATCATTATCATTATCGTTATCATTATCATTATCACTATCATTATCATTATCGTTATCCTTATCATTATCATTATCATTATCATCATCATTATCATTATCATTTTCATTATTATTATCATTATCATTATCATTTTCATTTTCATTTTCATTATCATTATCAATATCATTATCAATGTCACTGTCATTGTCATTGTCATTGTCATTATCAGTATCATTATCATTATAATTATCATTATCATTATCATTATCTTTATCATCATCATCAGCATCACCATCTTCATCATCAGCATCATCAATCACACACTCACTTACACTCACGCTCATTCAATCACACACACACACTTACTACCCATCGTCACGGTAATCATCATCACTCACTCATTCACTCACTCACCGTCATAATTCACTCACTCATCATTTCGTCATCAATCACCCCCTTGCATGACAATGGAGGATGTCTCAGGCAGGAGCCTCTCGCCCTGACCTTACTCTTGCAACGCGAACCACGTACCTGCCTTTACCCACTTGGGGACGCCGAGGGCATCGGCGACGTGATCGAGGCTAGCCTGGGCTTGTGCGAGCCATGCCGGTCGCGCGACAGGGTCGCGCGGGACCATTTGGGAGCGCTTTTCGGGCTTGAGGCCAAGCACTTCGAGGAGTTACATTCGGCGCTGGAGCTCCTGATCTCTGCGGTGCCCCGCTTGGTCCTGGTCGCCCTCCACCACTCTGTCGCCATTGAGGCGGGATGTCCCCGCACCTGGAAGGAGCTCGAGACCGCAAAGTTTTCGCTCCAGGCCACACTCGCCGTCATCGAAGCCGCAGTCCCTGCTGCCGACCTGTCGGCCCTGGCGGACCACGAGTGCGCGGTATGCGAAGTCTACGTCGACGTGCTCGGATCCAACATAGGCCTCACCGCGGGCCTTGCACGGCAGGCGGGCAAGGTCGCCTGGATAGGCGGGGGGTGCTCCTTCACGCACCTGCACCTGGACGCGCCCGCCCCGCTCGGGCCCCGCCCTGGCGTGACGCTACGGCCTCCCTGGATAGACGAGCGCGATACTCGGTGGGTGAAGGAGCAGAGCAAGGCCGACTTCTACTGCCAGGGGTGCCTCCGTGGTCCGTTCAAGCACGACAAAGGAGCGTACGTCAGCAAACGGGTCCGCCTGGTCATCGCGGTCAACAGGCAGACGGAGTACTACCAAGGGATGGACCTCACCTGGCTGTGCATGTGCTGCTGGACCACGAAGGCCATGCAGGAACGCCGACCCATCCCGAAAGACGTGGACTTCAAGGATTGGATCAACGATCGCCCTGACGACATGCCGGTGCGCACCACGCGTGCCCTGCCTGGACGTTGCCCAACGCCAACACCCACGTGCGACACTCCCCTGGGGCAGCTCCTGGTCCCACTGGACGGCGAAATGAACCCGCTCAATGTAGGTACCGCGCTTCCAGCCAGCAACGCGAATGACGACCGCCTCATCTCCCTGTTCCACGCGAGCAACGTCGGCATTTGGCGGTGCGACGGCTGCCCGCCCTGCACAGAAGGGCACAGGTGGCAGCCTGGACAGCCCATCCCCGGCATGTACGGCCACGCCGCTGACCCTGAGGGCCTCCGCGCTGGCCTAACCCTGGTGCGTGGGCTTCCACCGGTCCACCCCGTGAAGGAGATGTTCCTGTCCAAGCGCTGGCACGCAGGCTGGTGCTGCGAGGACTGTCTGATCCACCAATGGGACATGGCCCCGTCTGCAGTGCGACGCGGGCTCGATAAGTACGGCCCTGCGGTATACCCTGGCCGCGGAGCCGAGCCCCTTGCCGCGCTGCCTGGAATCCCTGCCGCCCCTACGGGGGCCGCGCTGCGCCCCAGCCAGCAGGACGTGCAACGGCGATCTGCCGCGTGGGATCAGGAGGCGCGCGCCAACCAGGAGCGCCTTCGCGGCGCGCCGCCGCCTCAGCCGAACGACGAGCGACAGCGACGCTTCTGGGCGCGAAGGATGGCGGCCAGGGCGACGCACGAGCGGTTCGTGGCACAGATGAGAGGCCAGGGCGCCGGAGGCGCAGGCAGCGGCGAGGCCAAACCTGCAGACACGGCTGCCAGCGCGGCAGCGCAGCAAGCCCCGCAGCCTGCGACCGGCAGCGGGCCCCAGCAGTATGGCGTTCCCCTGCCAGACGGGCGCGACGCACGTACCCCTGACCCACGTGCAGCCCAATGCCCAGCAAGGACCGGCGCCTGACGCCCACCGACCAGTCGAACAGCCCCCGCACGGCCCTCCGCCAGTGGGCTCCTCAGATAACTGTATGGGCTCGGCCCATCGCGCCTCGGCCCACCAATCGCGTGGAAGACTTAGGGCCAGACGACCTGCGCACGCACGTATGGTACCTGCGGCACCTGGGCTTCGAGGTGGACCAGCACTACAGACACCTGGTCGACGCCGCCCTGGACGACGACGGCGAGCACGCCGCAGTATGCAGCCCGCAGCTGCTCTCCGACAACTACCTGCGAAAGGTCCTCGAGCCGCGCGATCTGGCCCCAAGGCGTCATCCCCGATGACGCCCTGCCCGACTGGCCACACTAGACATTCGACGCGGAGCAGTACTTCCTGGGACACGTGGTGGCGTGGCTGGTCGGCCAAGGCGGCATGGGGGACAGGTGGGAGCAGTGCTGCGCCGACCGCGCCCTCACCCAGCGCTACCCGCCCCTGGCGCACCGACAGCAGCTACTTGCCTACGTTGTGCAGCTGGGCCAGCAGGCGGTAGAGGCCTGCCCGTGCATGGCACGGGGCGCGGCGGTCCCTGGCCTGCGCCCTGTCCCCAGCCGGCTCCACGAACCCGTCGTGGGGCAGGCCGCGGCCGACCCTGAAGACGCCAGGGCCCGCGTCCAGAGCCTGTAGCTCCCGGCCGTGGGCCCGCCGAGCAGCCCCGAGCTGACGGTCCGCTCCATCGCGGGGCTCGCGTCCGGGCGCGACGCGGTCGCCCCGGGCCGCCTGCGGCGCGAAGTCATGCAGCACTGCGTCACCCTGGGTTTTTTTCAGGACCGCCGGCAGTGGACCAACTGGGCCGCGCAGAGGGCCTCCGAGACGGGGCGCGCCCGGGCGCAGAGCTCGGACCCAAGCGGATGTGACGCAGAGGCCTGCAACGAGTTCCTGAGCTTGGTCTATGGAGAGGTCGTCCCTGGCACCTTCTTCTCGCAGGGACAATAGGATCACGACCGCGCCGCCCTCGTGTACCTTCTGAGCTTCCTGACGATGGATGCAGTCAATGGCGGCGGCGACCTTGGCGCGCGCTGGGAGCAGCGCATCCGCGCCAGCCGCGTGAGTTTCGGCCCCTCGCCCTTGGCCTGCCCGCGACCGGTGCTGGAGGCGTCGTCGCGACCGCCGACGTCAGAGCCGCGGGCAAGGGGCTGCTCACCTACTGCCAGCCCAGGACCCAGCCTGCGCAGCCTCTCTGCGCCGCGCTCGCCCCTGAACAGCACGAGGGCCCCACAGCCGCCCCGCGGACAGCGGCGGAAACACCGCCGCCCATGCCGAGTGACAGCGAGCAGGCCTCGCGCCCACCCAGGACGCGCCCCGCGGCGACCAAGTCCGCGGGGTCCCGCCAGCTGCCATCGCAATCCCTCGTTGCTCCCTTGAGCGCGCGCAACGCGACCGCGACCGACGGCAAGGACGAGTCCCGGACACGCCCCTCCAGACCCCCACCCGCCAGATCATGACTGACAACCCAGACATCGAGAACGGCGACTACGTGGTCATCCGGAACGACACCCTCCCCCGAGCCAGGTGGTTTGCAGCGGCGCAGAGCGCCGATCCCCTGTTCTCGCAGCTCCTGGACGGAGCGGTATTCGGCCCGATCCGCGATGTCCAGCTCCGCGCGGAGGGCGGGCGACGCTTCCTGGTCGTCCACATGGGCGACGAGTGGCTTGAAATCTGGGGTGCTGGGACCAAGACGCTACGCGCCGACACCCTACGCGGCAGTGCGGCGGGCCGCGCGGCCGCCTTCTCGGAGGGGGCCCCCGACAGGGCGCAAGCACCGCGGGCGGCAGCGGCCCCTGCCAGCTCCTGGCTCGGCGCCGACCCTGGAACCGTCGCGGCGGCGTCCGCTCAGCCCAAGTCCAGGCCCCAGTCCCGCGCTCCACAGGCGGTCGCACGGGGCCCCGCGCACGAGCCGCCGCCGTGCGACCACGCCAAGGAGGAGACCCCCGACTACACCTCCAAACACCAGGGAGGAACAGGCTCAGAGGCTGGCAGAGGCCTCAGGCGTAGTCCACGCGGACTCACCTTCCCCAGACCCTGGGGCCCGCCGGCAGGTCCACATCGGCACGAGCCCGCGCCACGCGCGCGCCGCTCCGGACGGTGGCCACCGGGGCCGGGCGCACCGCGCCCGACCCCCGCCCTCCGCTCGAGTGCGGTCTCGCGCGCGGAAGGGGGGGTGAGCCGGGTCTCTGGGGCCCGGTTCGGCGCCCGTCCAGAGACCAGCGACGGGGGGCGAGCTAGAGAGCGCGACCGCGACCGAGACCGCGATCGCGACAGGAGCGGAGGGTGGGGCTCCTGGCAGCGATGCGACGATCGCCGCCGCCCTGAACGAAACAAAGATGAGCGCCGCCGCCCTGGCCACAGCCGCACCTGGGAAGAGCGCCGCGCCAGCTGGCCGAGGCGCCCGGACGAGACGGCGACCGCCCACCTGAAAAGGCGGAAGGCCGAGGGAGGCTTCTGCTTCGCCGCAGCCTGGCACTCCTGGTGCAGGCACGTGGGCCAAGACAAGGGCCAGACCAGGGAGCAAGTCAAGTTCGACCCGTCCTGCTGGGGGCCCGGCATGATCGACCGCTTCCTGGATGAAATGGCGCGCAGCCACTGCGACGTGGGCACCTGGTCCCGGAACGCGGGCGTCTACATCGACTGGGGCCGCGGAAACGCCCTGTATCAGGAGTTCCAGCGGAAGCGGGAGGTGGCCAAAGGCGACGGGCGCCGGGACGGCCCAGCACGCAGCTCTGGGTACACAGACAACTGGACCGGGAAGCGCCCCAGGCGCTGACTTGCCCCGAACGCTCCCAGTGATGCCGCCGCCCAGGGTGCCCGCGCCAGACGCCCCTCCCGTCCCTGGCAAGGCCTCTTGGCGCTCTTCTTCGGGCACGAACTGTTTGTCGCCTTCGACAGCGCCTGGCCCTCTCTCCCCCTCCCCCCTCCTCCTGCGCACCTGATAATGGGACGGTTAGTCTCTCCTGATCCCGCAGTATACTTGCGACATCGACTGGGGCCGCGAAACGCTCTGTATCAGGAGATCCGGCAGAACCAGGATGCGGCCAAAGACGATGGGCGCGGGGGACGGCCCATTAACCAGCTCCGGGTCCACAGACAACCGGATCGGAATGCAGCGCCCAATCGCTGACGTATCTCGAATGCTTCTAACTTTTCTCTTGGCCTCGGGCGCCATGTCCGAACCGCCCCTCCTGTCCCTGGTCAAGCCTCACGGCGCCCTTCTTCGGGTGCGACCTGTTCGGCGCCTTCTGCTGCGACTGGCCCTGTCTCCCCTTCCCTCCCCCTCCCTTCCGCAGGTTCCACCTGCCTCCGGCAGCTGGCGGGGGCGCCCGGCTGCCGACGTGGGGCTGCCCCGGCGCTGGCTCGCCCGCCTGGCCGGCCTTTCTCATCCCTGCCCGCTTCCCCTTTTCCCCGCTCGCTGCCCCCCGCTCCCGCGTGGCGGCCGCCGCGCCCGGCGCGGCGCGGCTTCGGCCCGGTGCCCGGCGCTCGCGCGCGATGGTCCCGTTTCACCTTGCCGCCTCGGCTGCCCCGCGGTCCTGGGCGCAGCGCGGCCCCGGCCCGGCCCTGGGCTCCGCGGACAACGGCAGCGCCCCGGCGAAGGCGGCTTCGGCCCGGCCCCACGCGCTCGCAACTGCAGGGCAGGACTCGTTCCACCTCCTGCAGCACACCGGCACCCTGTCGGTCGTTATTGGCGGCGTGATCCTGGCGCGTCCTGGCTGCCGCGCCTCAGACTGCGGCTCCCGTGCCCTGGGCCCGTGGCACCCTGATCAACCGCGGTCTGGGCCACCCGTTCCCGCGTCATGTTCGGTGGCACAACGCTGCACTTCGGCTCAGCGATGCTCTCCGCCCTCCCTGGTTGACGCCGCCTGGGCAAGGCGCGTCCTCTCCCGCCTCGAGGCTGGTGTGCGCGATGAGCCGTTGACGGCGCCGCCAACCACGGCATTTTGCTTCCTCCGGCACTTCGCCACCAGGTTCCTGTCCAAGGCGTTCCTTTGCAAGCGCATCGTCTTCGGCGCCGCCTGATCCCGAGGCTTTGCCTCCTCCTGGCCTTGACGTGAGTCCTCTCCTTCTGTCCCCCCCTCTTTGTTAACTTAAGCTTCGCGCGACCCGCTTAGCTTCGACCAGAAGAGGTGCGCTCTCGACCCGCGAATCAAAAAAGTGTTTGTTAATTCAGGCTTCGCGCGGCCCGCTTAGCTTCGACCAGAAGAGGTGCGCTCTCGACCCGCGAATCAAAAAGTGCGTGTGTGCGTGGGGGGGTGGGGGGGGGGGGCGCGCGATCCTTGTGCAATAGTGCCGCGCGGGCCATTCGCGCCCGTCCGCCGCGCGCGCATGTCGAAATGTGGTCAAAACCTACATCGTCGAGACGTATCGGCGCCGCCATGGCCTTGCCGTCGTCGTGGCCATGGTCGTCAGCAGCATCGCTAGTCTCATCTTCGTGCCTGTCGTTGTCGACGTCGCCACGATACCGCGCGCGCCCCGTAACCGTCTTGTACTGAAGCGCCCGCGCGTCAGCGCGACCTGCGAGACGCGCTGGGGGCCCCCGGCGGTCAGTGCCACCGTGGCCGTCTCGGTCGCGCCAGACTTGCTGGTCTTTCTGCTCGCGAGCTCGCGCGCGCTAGCGCGGCCGCTGCGACGTGACGGCCAGCGCCAAGTAGTCATCGCAGTCGCCACCGCATGGGTTTCTCAAGCCATGTTGCGGGTGTGTCGGCGGCATGAGTGCGCGAGCACTGAAGTCGTCAATTCGCCGCGAACGAAATTGAACACGCCTTGTCGACTGCGCCAGATAATTTCTCCTTTCTAAAAGAGTAATAGGATTGACCCCGCCCAGACTTAACCGCTCATTTTTTCGCGTTGTAATTTGCAACTGATTCTGCCCCATCGTCCATCCTGAGTATGAACTTATACAATTGTAGCATTGCACCCAGGCCAGCCCCCCCCCCCCTGATTCTCATCAGCAAATATTATGCGCGCACTCGTTTATCAACGAGCATCAGTTTGCAGGAGTCCTTGGCAACAAATGGGACGAAACACGGGCGCGCGCGATGGATGTCGCGCGCGCAAGCCGCATTTTTTGAACACCGACGGCTATATGCGAATTTCAAGCTCGAAGGTCCCAGAACATATAACAATACATGGTTTCGCAACATCAGTTCTTTAAAAGAAGGTTGCGCTCGCGCTCTGGCGAGTTCTTGAGAAAATCATGGCTTCGAACAGTTTCGCAACATTCTTCCGCGCGGGCCTCTCGCGCGCGCGCGCATGTCGACATCGTTCGAACACCCTTGCGCTTATGCTGTCTTAAAAATCTTTGGCAACAGAAAGACGAAGTGCACGCGCGCGCGTCGTCTCGCTCCCATTTCGGTATCCTTCAATTAACCATAGGTTTCGTGGGTTCTTTGGAACATCGAGTACCCTGAGCACTGAGCGCATATACCAAACACATGGTTTCGCAGCATCAGTTTTCAAAAAGGCCTGCGCTGGCGCTCTCGCGAATTCTTATGGACACAATCGGTGTTCAACATGATCATCACATTCGGCCAAACGGGCCTCTTGCGCCGATTGTCATACTCATTCGAGCGCCCTTGTGCGCGTGGTCGGGGGGAGCGCGATCCGTGTCACATAATACCATGCGGGCCAGTCTCGCGCGTCGGCCGCGCGCGCATGTCGACCTCCTTCCGCAACCTTCATCACCGACGCGAGGACGCCGGCATCGTCGTCGGCGTGCTCAACATCGGCGCCGTCACTGGCCGTGCCGTCGTTGTTGTCATCATTGTCACCAACAGCACTACTATCATCATCGTGTCTACCACTGTCGACGTTGCCATGGTACCGCGCCCGCCAAAGTCGCCGAATTGTGCTGATGTGCCCACTGGGAAGAAGTGCGCAGCGGTCGGCGCCGCCTCGGCCGCGCATGTCGCGCCAAACTTGCTGGCCATTGCCCGCGCGAGGATGCGCGGACAAGCGCGGCCGCAGAGATGCGCCAGCCAACATCAAGAAGTCATTGCAGTCGCCGCCGCATGGGTTTTGTAAATCTAGTTGCGGGTGGGTGGGTGGGATGATTGCGCGAGCAATGGAGTTGTCACTTCACTTCGATCGTTGGTGAATTGTCCCGCATAATTTGTACCACGTTGATGGTTTCACGTAGATCGCAGCACATATTGTTGGAAACGTATTGTTTGATATCCACACTGGCTAACATGTTGTTTCCAGTGTTTTTTCCTTGACTGTCCGGGTGCTCAAATTAGGAACCCCAAAGGCCCATAATTGGTTGGCACCGAGGAACTCGTCGGTGCATGCCTCGTCATACGCGGTTTTTGGCCCTTCGACCACGAGGGGGGGGGGGAAAAGGGCAGGGGATCGGCACGCATCTCCCGACGCGCTTCTTCACTCCTGGTAAACGGGGGTCGGTGGATACAAGTGAAATGGAGCAGGGTTCTTCAAACGAGGAACAATACCCTCACAACGTCGAAGTTGGCTGTTCGGTATGCGCGGCGCAGAAGCAAGAGTTAGAGGTTCCTTTCGTGAGGCAAACTGCAGTTCGGCCCGACGGAACAAGTTATTTCACAAACGCCATCCATGGCGAGTGGGTGAAGATCGCGTCGCTGACAACTGGTCAGAGCGTGACGGTGAGCTACGGGTACTCGGAGAGGGATGTTTTTACACAGCGTCGTTGGGTCGGGGGATGGGGGGTGATAGGGGGTGGAGATGGTTCTACGCTCCCCGTAGGATCGTTGTTGGGAAGGGATTTCCACGACGTCCCGTAGAATCGATCGTCGCCCAGGTACAAGGCGTCAGGCGGCACCTCGAGTTCCGAGGCGGAGACAAGGAAGTCGGCGCAGTCGAGAGCCAACGACCTCAAAGCATGTTTCTCAACCTCGCTGTCGGCGTCTGTGGGGTTTGGTGCTCAAGCTGAAGTTGGTGGCACTGGCGTGGAGTTGGGGGTTGGCTTCTCATCTACTCTCGGTCTCAAAGCATGTGGCGGCGAGAAGACGACGCAGGAAACCAGCGTCGCCGTGGGTGTGACGCAATTGACATCGTGGGGCCAGTCAGTCACCGAGACTCAGTCGTTCTCGCTGTCGGTCCCCAGCCAGCTCCCTCCTGGGGTGCCCGAGGCCGACACCATGCAGACGCTGGGAGTCGATGTCTGGCAGTGGGAGTGGACAATCGTCGAAGGCGTCGGGGGCGTCCAGGAGAGGGGCGATGACCGCGGGGGGTGGGCGTCAGGGCCGCGGCCGTGCGGTCCCAGATCTTGTGGCCGCCTCCTCTTCCTCTCGTGCGTCGCACCTGCCCCATCCCATCGTGCGCACACCCCCCGAAGAGGAGGAGGAGGAGGAGGAGGAGGAGGAGGAGGAGGAGGAGGAGGAGGAGGAGGAGGAGGAGGAGGAGGAGGAGGACGTCCGAGGCTGCGATCTTCTCGGCGCGGGGCCCCCGGAGCTCCGGGGCCACCGCTCGGGCACGGGCCGCCCGCCCCGCGCAGCTCTCCCCGACGGCCCCTGAGGGGCCCTGCTGTGGCCCCTCGGAGGCCGAGCGCGACGGCCAGCCTCCGCCTCTTGCTCTCTCAGTTCGTTGATCGGGGGCATGAGGAGGAGGAGGAGGAGGAGGAGGAGGAGGAGGAGGAGGAGGAGGAGGAGGAGGAGGAGGAGGAGGAGGAGGCCGAGCGCGACGGCCAACCTCCGCCTCTTGCTCTCTCACTTCGTTGATCGGGGGGGAGAAAGCACACACAGACACGATGAATCGTCGATCCCCCAGAAAGTATTGGGAAAGCCTGGGAAGCGGGGGGGGAAGACAAGCGCCCAGGAGATACGGGAAAACACGGGGGATACTGCCGCTTGGGTCTAGTTATTTGTGTGTCCCAGGGCCCCCTCAGTTGAACGTCTGGGTGGTCCCCTGCTCCGGCGCCCCCGAAGGCGCGCACGACAACGTGCCGACGAAGTGGTACAAGTCAAAGGCGGACAGCCGCTTCGTCTTCTCGCCTGTGCCCACGGGTGCCACGGAGCGGCGGCCGTGCTGCATGCCCGGCCAGGAGTACGGCGTCCTCTGGTATCCGTATACCGGAGGGTTCCAAACGGGGGTTTTTGGGGAGGGGATCTTCCAGGAGGGGTCCCCCAGGGGCTTCGCACCCCCTATTTTGACGAGGTTCCGAGGCCCCTGGGGGACCCCTCCTGGAAAACCCCCTCCCCCAAACCCCTCTTTGGAACCCTCCGGCAGGAGTACGGCGTCCTCTGGTATCCGTACAACTGCAAGACCCGTGAAGGCCTGCTTCCAGGCGCTGAGGATGCTGCCCACTGTCAGGTCGGCAAGCCGGGAAGTTCTGCGGCCGCGGGGTGGTCCGCGCAGGCGGTCGTCGAGTGGTTGGGCACCCTCGGCACCTCGCAGTCGCAGGCACGAGGCAGCTCAACCACACGCCTCCCAGACCTCTCCCGGAGGTCTCCTCCACCAGAGGGGAGGCCTCCAGGAAACCCTGCCTCTCCTTCCAGGATGCCTCCTCCCTCCTCCTGGAGCTGGCCTCCCATGAGGAGGATGAGGACCAGTGTAAGCCCAAGATTCATCAACGATATTGGAGGGAACCCTCCCTCCAAGCTCCCTCTTCATAGGCCCCACAAGGGTTCATTTCCACTGGGGGAAGTGCCCTGTTGGAAGACAACCGTTTGAAGACACTGAAGCATGCCAAAACATTGTTCTCGGGATTCTTACACGACGGATCAACCTGGCTGTTGCGTCTTGACGATCCTGAATCGTGCCAGAACGCCATTCTTGGGACGTCAACGCCGCGAATCAACGTAATTGTTGTTTCATGAAAATCCTGCAGCGTTCCAAACACCCTTTCTGGGACGTTAGCCATGGGCATCCGTGAAACGTCTGCATGTTTTGTAAAGCAGTGTGCGCGGCGTTAAGGCAGTATTCACATTTTGAAAAGGAAGCGCCCTCAATGCGTGAGGCTCTGGCAAGTTTTCAAGACGCATGTGCGCGGCGCTACAGCGAGAGCCACATTTTGAAAACCACCCGCCCTCCATCCGTGAACCCATTGCACATATTTAAGCTTCAGGAAAATAAATGCTGAAGAAGTCTCAAGGGAAACGCCCGGCCCGCCCTTTCGACCGTCTTTGGGGCGCGACAGGGAGGATTTGTTCAGAAGAAAAGAAAATTAAGGAAATATGAGGAGGAAGAGGATGATGATGATGAGGAGGAGGTGGAGGAGGTGGAGGTGGAGGAGGATAATGATGATGATGATGATGATGATGATGATGATGATGATGATGATGATGATGATGATGACGATGATGATGAGGATGACGATGATGATGATGATGATGATGATGATGATGATGATGATGATGATGATGATGATGATGATGATGATGCTGATGATGATGATGATGATGATGATGATGCTGTTGCTGCTGCTGCTGCTGCTGATGATGATGATGATGATGATGATGATGATGATGATGATGATGATGTTGATGATGCTGCTGCTGCTGCTGATGATGATGATGAGGAGGAGGAGGAGGAGCAGGAGGAGGAAGAGGAGGAGGAGGAGGAGGAGGAGGAGGATGGGGAGGAAGAGGAGGTGGAGGACGCCTATAGCGAGCAGCAGGAGGAGGAGGAGGAGGAGGAGGAGGAGGATGAGAGCCAGTGTAAAACCAGGACTCATCAAAGATGTTGCAGTCAACCTTCTCTCCAAGATCCGTTCTCATTGGCTCCTTCACGGATTCATCTTCATTGAGGGAAATGCCCCGTCAGGAGGCAACCGCTTGAAAATCCGGAATTGCGCCAGGACGCCATTTCTGGGACATCAGCGCCGCGAATCACCGTGATCGTTGCGTGCTCACGATCCCGAATCGTGCCAGAACGCCATTCCTGAAACTTCAACACCGCGAATCAATGTGACGGTTGCGCCCTGACAGTCCGACATCGTATGCCCGGACGCTTTCAAATAGCACAGGCCACAATCGATTTGTGCTATTGCGATGGGTCGCTGTTGATGTATGGTAAATCTTCGAACGCCGTGTTTCTTCGTATTTCTGAACCCAATGTTTTGATGCTTTTGTTTTGTTGTGCTCAGGGAAGGTCGAGAACGGCCCCTGTCCACGTTTCTGTGTGTCAATCCCGTCCCCTGCGTCGTGCTATCTGCGCGTTGTGCTATCTTCGCCACTCCCCCATGCCTTGAGGGAGAGAAAAGAGAGCTGGAGGGAGGAGGGGGGCCAGAAGTGGAGGTAGAGGTGGGGTAGCAGCAACAGGTGCAGGGACTGGGGACACGTACTCCAGATTTCGTAATAAGAGGGAGGGGGTCTGGACCCTCCAAGACAAGCCATTTCAGACCTCCCCCGTGGGAGAACCCTCCCAAACATCGTCCCCAGACCCCCCAGGCCCTCCAAGATAGCCTGGAAGAGACCCCCCCGAAATGAGACCCCTCCCTTTATTACGAAATCTGGAGTATGCCATTTTTCTCGGTGCCCCCAGTCCTGCTGACCTGTGCTGTGTTGGCCCCGTGTGCCTCCTCTCCTTCTTCGCCAATGCACCGTGCACCCGTGCCGCGCCGCTCTCAACGCGCGAGGCCATTCCTCGGATCCCCCCCCTGCTCCCAGAGCGAAGGAGAGATGCAGTAGGAACTCGACCACAAGAAACCTTCCAACAGAAACCCGACCCTGAGACCCCAGGACGCCCGTTGTTTTTTTTGGCGTGGGAACGCCATGTTTTCCATGGCCAAACAGTCGAGACCCGAGGAACCCAGGGCAGCCTGGGGGCAAACATGGTTTTTCTTGGCGTGGGTCCTCGTCCTCCCCTTCCTCCTCCTCCTCCTCCTCCTCCTCCTCCTCCTCCCCCTCCTCTTCCTCCTCCTCCTCCTCCTCTCCCTCCTAGCCCCTTTCCCTCCTCTCCCTCCTCGTCCTTCTCCTCCTCGTCCTCCTCCTCCTAGTCTCATTCCATCGAACCTCCTCTTTCAGGGGCGATGCCCCCAATCCTGCTGACCTGTGCCATGTTGGTCCCGCGTGTCTCCTCCTTTCCTTCCTCGTCTTCCACCTCCTCCACCTCCTCCTCTCCTCCTCCTCCTCCGCCTCCTCCTCCTCCGCCGCCGCCTCCTCCTCCTCCTCCTCCTCCTCCTCCTCCTCCTCCTCCTCTCCTCCTCCTCCTCCTCCTCCTCCTCCTCCTCCTCCCCTAACCCCTTTTCCAACGAACCTCTTCTTTCAGGGGCGATGCCCCCGATCCTGCTGACCAGTGCTATGCTAGTCCCGCGTGTCCCCTCCTCTCCCCTCGTCCGTCTCCTCCTCCACCTCCCCTCCTCCTCCTCCGCCTCCTCCTCGTCCTCCTTCCGAGTCCCATGCGCCCAATCCTGCTGGCCTGTGCAATGTTGGCCCCGCGTGTCTCCTCCTCTCCCTCCTCGTCCTTCTCCTCCTCCACCTCCTCCGCCTCCTCCTCCTCTCTTCCTGCTCATCCTCCGCGTCGAAGCCTATGAGTTCAGCGTTGGGGGGGGGGGGGCCGATGGCGCGAGGTGGGATCTGGAAGGTTGCCGACGGGAGAGGGCTACCTTTGCGACCCGACCCGAACGCGCTTGGAATGGAAGTGTGACCCGGGTGATATTGCCCGTGGCAGCGCTTAGCCGGGGCAGTCAGGACTCGGCGGTTGACGTCGGGCCGTTGGTGGCCAGGAGGACTGCCGCGAAGGGGTGAGATTGCTTGGTTATGGGGCCCGCGCCGGGGTGCTTGGTTGCAGTGCTAGGACAAAAGGAGACGCCGCGCGTGAGCCGCATCGTTCGCAATGCCGCGAAAGACTTGAAGGTCAAGGCAATTCGAACCTCTAGGATTGGTGAGTGGCGGCCCAAATGAGAGCGGAGCCCGACAGCGCCAGGCGGAACAATGAGGGGGGGATTCATTGTTGGATAATTGGGCATCTCAAGGCAGCTTAGAAATTCGGTAACACCGTGGACCCATAACCAAGATGCGCGCGCCGAAAGACATTGGCATGGGGGCCCAAGTGGTTCAGCTGTGATCGACCAACGTGTGTCAAATTGAGGACGTAACCGACGAATGGGGAGGTAATGGTGAGAGGGGTCTGCGAGGGCCTTGTGCGGGGTGGGCGGAGTTCCGCGCTGTCTCTGGCAGTGGGGGCGACTCCCGACCAGCCGGCGTTATCCCGCCAAGGTCAGCGGCGGCGAAGAAAGGCGGGGGAATCCGGAGAAGCCGAGTGTGCCAGATTAGTCAGAGAGGAAGATGATGGTAATGAGGAGATGTTGAATGAAGGTCATCAGGTCGAGGTGAGCGCGGGGCTGGTCGACGAGAACATGGATGACAGTACACCTGAGCATGCGGACGAACAACATGAAACGATTAGCGCGGATGAAGTACCCGCCCTGTAAAACATGTTGGAGTTAGATGCCAGAGATGTAGAGCCGAAGTTGCGGAGTGGTTGCACGGCGCCGGTTCGGTTGTCATCAAAGAGGTCAATGAAATTAGGGGGGCCGTGAGGTTATGCGGCAAATGCCAGCGCCGCGTGCAATTGCGCGTTTCCCAGGCCGATCCTGAGTGTCGATCCCGGCTGGTTGCCCGGCAGGTTAAGCGCACCTCCGCAGAGGAGAACATGTTCCCAGCCGCGCCTCCATTGGAAACGCAAGAACTATCATTCTTTGTGGCTGTTGCCGATGCAATTGGGCGCGAGCGAAGGGAGTTTTGGGAAGGGCTAAAGTTGTCGCTCATAGACGTCAGACTGGCGTATTTCCACGCCAAGACCAAACATGACATCTTCAGCATGGTGCCCGAGGAAGATCGTGGACTGGGTATGTTTGGAAGATAATGGAAGTCACTGTGCGCCACTCGGGATGCAGCTAGCAACTGGCAAGATAGTTGGATTTTGCGCGTGATACTGGCCTGGGCAACGGGGAAGCACCACCGCGTGTGTTTAAACGTAAGACAAGGTGGATCTTGCTACCAGTGCATGGGGGCGATTGTACTTCATTGGGTAATGACGCCCATCTTGATCGGTTCCGCAGGAGATCCGAAGGAATTTCGAAGCTGCAATCCAAGGGGGGCTCGATCCAGGGCCGAACGGTTTGAAGTCGATTGGGATTCGCTGCCGACGTGTGAAGTAGAACGGGGATGGCTTATGGTATGAGGCGGAGCAAGGACATGTGGAGATATTTGTACAGGAATTGGGCCTGGAGCAGTACAAAGTTATGTGAGGTGCCAGGTTGAGCAGACGGCGGCGCCCCTGCCAAACCATGAAGTTAAGACATATTTATCTTTTAGTGGACGGCAAACTATCTAGCACAGGACCGACTGGATAAGCAGTTCTCAGTGAAGGAGCGTGCGCGTTCTATGTCAGGCCCAACTCTGGGGGCATGGGCGCGCCTTTCAAACTTGGGCAGGTATCTCAAGAACCACGACAGACGTGGATATCAGTATGTGTAACAAGAATGTCATGAGGAGTTAACCGTGTGGACTGACGCCAGCTGCGCCTAATGCAAGAAGAAACGTAAATAAACGAGCGGAGGACAGTGACGTGCGGATTACATGTGGTAAAGTCGTGGGCTTCGATTCAGATTGTAGTGGCTTGAGTTTCTCGAGAGGCAGAGTATTGCGGAATTGTGGATGGCGGCTCGGTAGCGTCAGGACTACAAGCAGTGCTCAAAGACTCCGATGTTGATAGTGGCGTCTAGTGAAAGAGCGATGCCAGTGCAGCCATTGGCATTGCTAGCTGGCGAGGGCTAGGACAAGTCAGACATGTCGACTTTTGTCAACTTCGGTGACGAGAGAAGGTACGACAGGGAGGTAGCCAAGATATCAACCTAAGAACTCATGCGAGCCGTGCAGATACTTTAACGAAATACGTGAGCAGGGGTAGCATGTTCATGCGCACGCGCGGTGCCAATCAGCATATCGTGAACGGAAGACGCGCTGGCGCCCGCCACGCAGTGTTAGCTCAATCCAGGTCCGGGCTACCATCACGTGCCGCTGTGACGGAAACTTGAGCTCAGGATCGGATGAGATCCAGGCGCGCGTCTGCACGAATTAAAATTTAAACTACATAATATGTGCATGATTCTACGTGAGCTGGTGCTTTGCGGGAGTGAGAACATATTGTATCGCGCATTTGGAAACCACTGCGCGTTGACGGCCAAATCATGGTCGCCTTCTGCTTGCACCAAGTATGCATTCGAGCACTTCAGTATTCAATTTGTCCCACTGGGATGGAATCCTGGTGGTACTGCGCTGTTACATGTTTCGCACCGGTTTTCCAACCGTTTTTTGCTGTTTCTATCTCGCCCGTCTCCACGTTCGGCTTATCAGCTGGGGGGGGGGGTATATTATAGCGTTCCGACTGGGTGAGTAGGTGCGAGGCAGTAGTGTAGGATGCAGCGGATAGGTAACACATCTGGCAGGATCAATGGATTGTCTGGTTTTTGTTTTGGCTCAAGTATAATTTTGCCTTCTCCGCATAATATTCCTACCGTGTTTTTTCTTGGTGACAACCGAAGACTAGGGTCGAAGGTTGATCGAGGAGGAAAAGGACCGATGGGTATGAATACCAGGGAGGAAGAAGGATCGAGGATGGTCGCGGATCGAGGGGTGGAGGCCAGGCTTCGACGTCGAGGTCGCGGGGTGTGTGTGGTCTCGGAACCCTCTGGAGGGGCGGAAGGGGGGAGGTCTCCCAGCATACCGCCAGGAGGCGAGAGTACGGGTGCCACCCTTGCCCCACATCGCCGTCGATCTGTTTGTTGCTGTCTCCGTGCTTTCCCTTCATTTCGGCTCCTGGGGCCTCAGGGCTATCATAAACGGTCCTGGGAGGAAAAATTGCCCTCCAGGAAAAAGGGTCTAGGGCCGCGTATTCTGCATCGAATGGGCGGACGTCAGGGTCCAGGAGGTGGAGGTAGGCGTGCCACCCATGTCCGGAGGGGAGACACACACACACAGACACACTTAATCGTCGACTCCCAGGGAAATCTGGGAAAATATGGGAAGTGGGGGGGGGAAGACGAAGACCCAGACAGTATGGGAACGTCGGGGGAATCCTCTTACTTGTGTCTGTTTTTTTGTGTGTCCCAGGGCCCCTTCCTCCTCCTCCTCCTCCTCCTCCTCCTGTGTTCCTGGGCCCCTTGACCATGCTCTCGCAGGAGTACTGGCAGAACGTGGTCTTCGACAGGAAGCTGGACGGGCGCGCGGCCGATTCCCTGCTGCGCTTCGTCGACGAGTCCCCCGCCTCCTACAGCGCCGTGAGGATCGGGGGCGGACAGAACCCCCAATAGTGACACGTCGATTAGCGAATTGTCCGTTTTCGGTTCTCGAGAGTTCGCCGCGGCCGTTATTTTCCGGGCTTGCGCCCGCCAGGTTTGGGTCTCAGGTCGTTTTCACCAAACCACGTTTTACTAAAGGGAGGTCTGTCCATCCCCGAGAGGACCGTTTTCGGCCAGATACCAACTGGTGACGCGCTCCTGATACTGAGGGGCCTCATCGAGCTGAGGACGTCGCGGTAGCGCAGGGATCTGCAGCAGTGCCTGTGTGGTTTGTGCGGGTGGTGCTCGCGCGCTCGTGCCTGTAGCCTGCCTCGCGGGAGTCGGTACATCGTCTGATCAGGAACATGCATGCATCTCCTATCAGCTGATGGATTGCCAAAATTGACGAACTACTAGTGAACAGGTGCAGTTTGTCGCTCTTGGATCCCTTCTTTCCTTTTTTCCCCTTCTCCCTTTTTCACCCTCACCCCTCCAATTCCCCCTTTCGCCTCTGCTCCTCCACCCCGTCTCTCCACACAACCCCCTTCCCTCCCCCCAGGTGGTTTGTGAGTGTGTGGGCAGGGGGCGGCCCAGGCAAAGAGTGTTGCTACCAATGTTTGTGATGGCAGCGTTCAAGGCTTATCTAGGTACTTGCGGCATCGCCACCGTGCCATCGCAGCACTCAGTGGTGCTACTCTTTCAGGGCCGCCCAGAAGGCCACAGCGCGTTGCAGATCGGGTCTTCACTGCTCCGGAGGGCCCTACCATGTGCTACGCTCTTTCGCGGGCTCGACGATGCTGCAACACTCGTTGGTTCCCTACTCGGGGCCCAGTGATCGGTAACACCCTCACGCGTGGCAGGTCGCTTCCCAGATCTCAGAAGAGTCCGCTCCCGATCCAGAAAAGCATATTGTCGGCGGACCGATCCCAGGGCGGCCACAAGAGAGCCCCAAGAGGGTCTGAAGACGGCCCCAAGATGCCCCCCAGGAAAGCCCAAGAGTGCCATAGGAGGCCCCGAAGAGGCCCCGAAGAGGACCCGAAGAGGACCCAAGAGGGCCCCAAGCCGACTGAAGCCCCCCAAGACGGCCCAAGAGGCGCCGAGGACGCCTCACGAGCCTCCCAAGGGGACCCCCGAGGCGGACCGATCTCAGACTCCAGAGACGGGCGGCCCCGACGCTGCAGCCCACGTGGCATGCAGGTCGCCGGCGTGGGCTCTCAAAAAATATTCGCGGGCCCTCGAACGCCTTCCCTCGTCTGCCGGGGAGAAAGCCCGCGGCGGCTTCCACCGCTGGCGGAGTGCGCTCGACGCGGAGGGCGTGTCGCAACATGTGACTGTTGATGTCCCAGTGGCCGAGGGGGCCTCTGATCGGCCGGAGACGGCTCGGAGGGCCCCCCGTGGCTGCCCCGAGGCGGCCTCGGAGGCTCCCAAGAGAGCGCCAAGACAGTCCAAGAGGGCCCCAGCACGTCTACAGAAAGCTGCAAGACGGCTTCAGAGGGGCCCCAGGAGGCCCCCAAGAGAGTCCCAGGAGTGCCGTCCGAGGCTCCCAAGGGAGGCCGACGAGAGCCCCAAGAGGGTCCCAAGACGGACCAAGCCGCCCGAGACGGCCCAAGATGTCCCCAGAACGGCCCAAGAGAGCCCCAAGACACCTAAAGAGCCCCCAGAGGACCCCCCCCCCGGACGGCCCCATGACGGACGCAGCTTTGAAGCCCAGGCTCCCAAGAGCACCAGGTGACCGGAAAGCCCTTTGTACGCGAGTCGGTGAGTAAACATTTTGGACCGCCAACGGTCCCAAGAGCGAGCAGTGGGCCAGAGAGTTCTGAACGCCCAGGCTCCCAAGAGCGAGCGGTGACGTAAACAGCTCATCACGCCAAGTCTTCCAAGAACGAATGGTTACGTAAACAGATCTGAACTCCGAGGCTCCCAGGACTTCGCAGTGACGTACACAACTTTTCACGACAAGGCTCCCAAGAGCGAACGGTGACGTAAACGCTAATGCTCCCAAGAGTTAACGATGACGTGAAAAGACTCTTCACTCCAAGGCCTCCGATATCTGACTGTGACGTGAAAAAGCTCTTCACGCCATGACTCCCCAATAGCGAACGGTGCTATGAGCCCTCTCGGCCGACTTCCTGAAGCGCTCTTTCCGGCCCAGGTTGACGGAAAGAGCGAGGTATGAGTGATGACGTCGAGTTGGGGCGAAGTCTTCTAGGGAGGGGTCCAGGGGAGGGGGGATGAGCGAGGACGTAGGTCTAAAAGCCTTCCCCCCCCAGAGGCCCTCAAGACGGCCCAAGAGGCGTCCAGGACGGCCCAAGATACCCCCAAGGCGGCCCAAGAGAGGTCCAAGACGGCTCCAAGACTGCCCAAGAGCGCTCCAAGAGACCCCAAGACCGTCCAAGACCATTCCAAGATGGCCTAAGATGAGCTCAAGATGGTCCAAGAGGGCCCGAGACGCCCCTAAGAGGCCTGCAAAAGGCTTCCCAAGAGGGCCCACAGAGGCAACATTTATTGATGTCGATATTTTTTGCAGTTTTGATGGTTATCGCTTAGTCGGGCCAAACGGTCCAAACCGGCCCAAGAGGCTCCGAAGATCGTCCCAAGACGGCCCAAGAGGCTCCCCGAATGGCCCGACAACAGTCCAAGAGGGCCTCAAGACGGCCCAAGAAGGCACCCCAAACGGCCCCAGAGGGCCCCAAGACGGTTCCAAGGGAGCCCCAAGAGGGCCCAAAGAGGCTCCCAAGAGGGCCCCAAGAGGTCACCAAGAGGGCCCAAGACGGCCAAAGGCCTCCAAGATGCCCCAAGACGGCCAGCCCAGAAGGGTCCCATGACGGCCCAAAATGGCTCCAAGAAGACCCCCAAGAAGCTCCAGAGACGCCAAGTAACACCGTGTCTCCCAACAGCGAGCGGTGACGTAACAAGCTCTTGACACCAAGGCTCCCCAGAGCGCAGTGACGTAAAAGACTCTTGACAGCAAGGCTCCCAAGAGCGAGCGGCAACGTAAAAGTCTCTGAACACCAGGGCTCCCAACAGAGAGTGGCGACGTAGCAAGCTCTTACCACCAAGGCTCCCAAGTGCGAAGGGTGCCATGAGCCATCTCGGACACGCGCGCCCTCCGTCAAGACAGCCCCGGAGGCCCCTAAGACCGCCCGAGAGGCATTCAGGACGGCCCAAGATACCCCCAAGATGGCCCAAGAGAGGTTCAAGACGGCTCCAAGACGGCCCAAGAGCGCTCCAAAAGACCCCCCAAACCGTTCAAGACCGTTCCAAGATGGCCTGATATGGGCTCAAGACGGTCCAAGATGGCCCCGAAACGCCCCAAGAGGCTTGCAAAATGCTTCGCAAGAGGGCCCACAGAGGCAACATTCATTGATTAGTCGCAGACGTGTTTTTTTTTGCAAGTTATCGCCTTTTCGGACCAAGCACGGCCCAAAACGGCCCAAGAGGTTCAAAATATCGTCCCAAGAGGGCCCCATATGCCCCCCAGATGACCCGACAACTGTCCAAGAGGGCCCGAAGACGGCCCCAAGATAGCCTCAAGAGGGCCCAAAGAGGCTCCCAAGAGGGCCTCAAGATGCCCCTAGGAGAGCTCCAAGACGGCCAAAGGCCTCCAAGACGCTACAAGGCGGCCCCAAAGGGCCCCATGACGGCTCAAGAGGATACCAAAACGGCCCAAACGGGCCCCTAAAGGGCACCCAAACTACCCCCAAGAAGCCCCAGATATGCCAAGTAGCACACTGCTCCCAACAGCGAGCGGTGACGTGACAAGCTCTTGACACGAAGGCTCCCCGGAGCGCGGTGACGTAATTGTCCGACGGTGGGACCCCGCATGAGAATCTGTTTAGCTTGCCCCTCGCTTGTTCCTCTTCGCCTTGGCGGAGGCCCTCCCCCGCCCTCTGCTGCGCCTCCTCCTCCTCCTCCTCCTCCTCCTCCTCCTCCTCCACCTCCTCCTCCTCCTCCTCCTCCTCCTCCTCCTCCTCCTCCTCCTCCTCCTCCTCCTCCTCTCATCATACTCAGATGATTGTGTCGTGCTGGTCTCATCCGTTCCGTGGCCGCTGTTGCCCCGCAGTCTCTCAAGCACGAACGGAGAAGGCGGCCGCTTCGTGCCGCGGGCGCTCCTCGCCTCCGCTGCGGCGCGGCTCGGCCAGTGGGCCCTCTCGGAGCGCGGGTGGGCGACGCTGGAAGGCACCTTCGGGGGCGCCGCCGAGTGCGCCGTGGCGCTGCAGCTGCTGGGGTCGCTGCGCTGGGGCGCGGCGGTGCTCGTAGCATTGAGCGCGGGTCTGGGCTCTGTGGCTGGGAGGTATGCCTTTTCCGCGCCCGGTCTGGGCAGCGGTCCGAGATCCAGCGGCGCCGCGGCGAGAGCCTGCAGGCTCGAGTGGCGCTGAGCCCGTGCACAGCCGCCGAGCACACGGCAGTGGCGGGTCAGAAGCCGAGCGTGAACGCCGAGGCGGACGAGCGCCTTTGGTGCATGGTGGCTCCAGACGGCGGCGTATACCCTCACGAGCTGACGGTCCAGGCTCTACGCATCGTAGTGCCCAACGACATGACCGATCACCGACAGCTGCCGAACCGCGGGGGGGCCAATCCAGCGGGGCTCGGAGCTTACGGGCAGGACTGGGGCATGACGCCCGCCGAGTTCTGCCTCCAGATGCGGATCGCTATGGGGCGCTCGCTCGAAGACGTGATCGCTCGTGGGCTGACAGCTCTGCCGCCAGCAGCGGGGCCCGAGGAGGAAGTTCAAGCCCTGGCCCCAGCTTCCCCGCGTATCGGCTCGGGTTCGGGCTTGTTGAAGATTCCGAGTGAGTGGGCCGTGGGCCGAGACAAGCTACCATATGCGAGTCCTTCGGGGTGGCGCTGCGTAGCCTCGAGCGACGGCGACGGCAATCGGGTCCTCGGCGACGTGGACTTCGAGACGTTCGTGATCACCTCTGGGTTCGGGATCGGACGACTTGCTGGGCGCAGCCTCCTCATCCGAGCTCTACCTCGAGACGGCGGCGACGAGCTCGACGCACGGGTCTTGGCGCTGCGGATCACCCCGCACCAGCGGTTCTTGGGCATGAGGGAGGCCGTCGCCGCAGCGGTCCTCGCATGGCGAAGTGGGTCTGCGAGTTCGTCCGAGAGAACGAGGTCACATTCCGATCGAGGCACGCGAAGTTCAAGGCGGAGACTGGCTTGTCGAGTAGCGACCAGGATGTCTCAATCCACGCCCTGTGCTGTCGGATTATGCACCTGCTTTTGACGTTCGATCAGCTGAGCGCCAGCGAGCTCGCATGCGCGGAGCTGGTGTGCCGTCGTCTTCAGATGGCGGAATATTGGCGCCGCGACAGGATCCACTCGACCTCGCGCGGCGATGAGCTGCTCGAGGATGCCCGCCTGTACCCGGGCACGGGCGAGGCGCGCGGGCTCATCTGTATCGCGCCGTCGCTCCTCACCTTCGTCGCCGACGAGCTCCACAAGGAGAGCATGGTGCTGAAGGGGCGGCGCAAGCTAAAGGAGGAGCGGATGGCTTCTCGCGGGGATGCGAACTCGGGCAGTGGGGGAGGTGATCATCAGGGCCGCCTCGCAGGCATGCAGAGCACAGCGGATCGTCAGAAGTCGGAGATTGACAAGTTGAAGAAGCAGCTGGCTGGAGCTCCGAAGGGCGACGCGAAGGGTCGCGGCCGCGGGGGCGGTGCTGGCGGCGACGTGGGTTAACCCCAACTATCTTTCCCTTCATGGTGGTCCAGAGGGGCGCGCTGCCGATCCCCCTGGACCTTGTCGCCGCGCACTTCGAGGGGCGCGACCACTCTGCATGTTTTTCTAATTCCCGCACGAGGCGGAGTCGGGGCCGCCGGGGGCTCGCCGTCGACCTCTGGACCTGCGAAGTCATTGCTGCCCTCAACTTCCTGAACGGGCGCGTGGGCGGTGGTGGCTACGGCAAGTTGTCGGCGGCGCAGCTCGCTGATGTCGACTCGCTGCGCGACCGCGTCTCGGCGTTCGGCGCGCCCGACATCGGCCCCGCGGCGGCCTGCAGGGAGCTGCGTGGTTGTTCTCCTGGTATGACATGAGCCCACCGAAAGCCGTTCTGTTCACCGAAGGGAGCGTTGCGGTGCCTTCGGATTCAAGAAAGTGCGACCCTGCCAACTTGTTTGCGGAGTCCGTGCGCGACTTGTGGCAGGGCTGGGATGCGCATCTCTTGCGCCCTCGTCGTGGGTGGCTTGCCAATGTGCCCCCCCGCTTCGACGCCGAGCTGAAAGGGTTCCGCGCGCCAGTGTGCTGATTTTTTGCGTGACCTGTTCGAGGCTGGTATGATCAACTTCACCTCGGAGCGGAAGCACGCGCTCGCGCCGTTGTTCGTGGCTAAGCGCGACGGGGGCGGCGAGCGGCGGATGGCCCTGGACGCGCGCAGGGTGAACCGCATGTTCTACGACCCCGACGTCGCCGAGTTGCCGACGGCAGGAAGCTGGCAGAGTCTCCGTCTCGAGGCTGACAGCAGCCTGTACCTCGGCCAGTGTGACATCGAGGCAGCGTTCTATCGGTTCCTCGCTCCTGCCGGGCTCAGTGAGTTAATGATTCTGCCGAGTATCGACAGAGTTGCCCTCGCCAGTGTTCTTCCTGCTGGCGCTCTGGACGATACAGTATCTCGCAACTGTTCACCATGTCTGAAAGTCTTACCGATGGGGTGGAACTGGAGTCTGTTCTTCTGCCAGCACACCGTCGAAGGTATGCTGGGGGCCGTTGGGTTCGGCGACGCCAAGCTCGTGCGCGACAGGAAGGTGATCCCCGATTTGGCGACGGGTCCTGTGTCCGCTGCTTACGTCGACGGGGTGGCGGTCATCGGCACCCAGTACGACGAGGTCGTTGACCAGCTGAGCGGCATCTACGGGGCCTTCAACGACGGCGGCTTGAAGTGGAAGGAAATGGAGCTGCCGAGCCAGGAGCAGAAGTTCACGGGCTTGATCTTCGACCGCGACCTGGGGCGCATATCTCTGGGACCCGCGTGGATGTGGAAGATCCGCCAGGCGCTTCTTTGCCGGGCGTCGCAGCCTTGCGCTTCGGGCTCCGACCTCTCTAGCCTCGTCGGCCACTTCAACTGGGCTTCTCCATTGCGCCGGCCGCTCCCTTGCATCTTCCAAAGCGCGTATCGCTTCATCCAGAAGGCGGGTGACAACCGCTGGAGACTGGCCGGATTTCGTTCGTGAGGTTCGAGTGGCAGCAGCGCTGGTGGCCTTCGCCTACTACGACGCCAAGAGGCCCGCCGACGCGATGGTCTACTGCACCGGCGCTTGCACGGGCGACCTCGACCCGAGGGGCAGCCTGTTCGGCGGCTACGGGGTCACCAAGCGCGAGGTTGAGATCTCTACCGTGATCGAGACCGCGCGAGTGCGAGAGCGCTGGAGGTATCAGGTCGAGGGGGCCATCAATGCTCGGGACTTCGCCTTCGCCAATCGCGACGCCCCCGCCGAGCAGCAGGCGTCGTTCGCCACCGTCAGCTCGGAGCTCGTCTTCCCGATGGGGTCCCGGAGGAACGTGACCTTCGGCCGCCGGAGCCGCGATGAGAACATCCTGAGGCTGGAAGGACGTGCGCTGTCGTTGGGCATCCGCCACAAGATGCGAGCTTTGCGATCGATGGGGCCATCTGCACCTCATGCTGAATGACAATCTGTCTTTGGTGCTCGGAGTTGAAAAGGGTCGATCGTCGTCACCATTGATCAATCAGACGTGCCGAGAGATCTGCAGCTACAGTATCGTGCACGACATCTCCGTAGCCGTGTGATGGCTGCCTTCAGAATGGAACACACCCGAGAAGGGCTCCCGTATTGTGACAGGATCCCCAGCCCCCTTCGCAGCCGATCCTCGCAATGTTGGCACGGCCTGGGCCAGCCGCCAGCCTCGCGCGGGCAGCTGCTGTCGAGAAAACGAGGCGCGACGACTGCGACCACCCCGTCGCCCTCCTTCGGCGACGGCGGCACGACCTCTGCGAGCCCGCCGTCCAGGCCGCTGCCGATATGTCGACCTCGGCGAACTCGGGCGGCTCCGAAGGCAGTCAGGACCACCCGACCGCTGCCGAGTGCGAGCGGTGGAGTTCCTCCTGCAGCTCGAGCGAAGGCAGCAGGGCGCTTGGAGCTGGCGCGCCAGAAGGCCAATCGGGCGAAGCTGAGGGCTGCGAAGTTCGGCGGCATCAATTGCAACCCTCGGTGTGGGCTGACCTTCTTGCAGAGGCGCAAGGTGCGCGCCGCCGCGATCAGCGGCTTCGACAAGCACGTGGCCAGCTTCCTCGAGTGGGCCGAGGCGCCTTCGCTGGAGGCCATCACGGCGGACCGCCTGGACGTCCTCCTGGCGGGCTACTTGGACAAGCTATTGTGGGGCGGCGAGCTGGCGGGGGCGGGGTCGCGGCTGCTGGCGTCCGTGCAGTGCAGGCTGCCGCGCGTCCCGAGGCCGAAGCACGGAGGCCTGCCCCTGGCGCGGGCCGCGCTATCAGGCTTTCGAGTGCACTCCAGGAGTGCGCCGATGATGCCCGTCGGCAAGCCCATCGTGTGGGCCATGATCGGGACCGCCGCGTTGGAGGGCGACTTCGAGTGGGCAGGAGCTCTGGCGCTAGCCTGGGTCGGCATGATTCGCTTACCGAGCGACCTCGTCGACGTGACGACCGAGACGCTGGTGGGGCCAGGCCGCGGCGCGGTGCCGCGTTGGGCGCGGTTGCTGTACCCGATCGAAGGTTCGACGCGCAGCAGGACGCTCTTGCAGGACGAGGGCGCGCTGCTGCGGGGCACGGCTTGGCGTGGCGGCGGCGGCAGCTTCCTGCGGCAGCTCCGTGCTGCGCGACCCGCTTGCGCGCGCCTGTAGTCCTTCGGCGTGGCCCAGTTCGTGACAGAGTTCTGTCGGCGGCTGGCGCTGCTACCAAGTGCGCCCGACATGATCCCGTGCCGGCTGCGACATTCCGCGGCGTCGCATGCGGCCGCGGTCGAGGGCGTCGGCCTCTATATAGGGGCTGCGGGCGCGCCTGCGCCGCGCCATCGCGCAGAGCACCGCGCGATGCTCACGCCGCGTCCGATGCCTCGCAGAGCTCGAGAAGATCGACGAGCGCGTGGCTGTCTGTTCCGAGTTGGTGGAGGCCGACATCTCGTCGATCCGCGGGGACCAGAGGCGGCCGCCGCTGCCGAGCTTCCTGGAGGGGAAGCAGCTGCGGTCGATTCAGCCTTGCGCGGCCTCGCCCGCGCCTGTCGTGCGGCGCCTGGGCAGACGTTGCTCGAGGTCGAGTTCGGGCGAAGCGAAGCCGCTCGAGCCGATGACTTCTCGAGTTTCGGGCACAGTGCTTGGATGGGTGTATCTTTGGTGGCTGACGCCCGCGTGCGCCGCCGTTTTGTGGGCTGGATCTCCTCTCGGTGCGTTCGCGGGGTCGTCTTGGTCTGGCCGAGATTTGGTGGGAATGCCTCCAGTCACGCGCCGGGCCGACTGATTCACAGGTGTCTAGGTCTCCGTTGCCCGTGTGTAGCGATTTCCCCATCCAGTAGCGCTGACGCGCGATCCCCCGTGTTTCAACATCTGGTGAACAATTGTGATGGGGGACGTTGCATCGTGCCGCCCTGCAGGTTCGGTTGTCGAGCTAACCGCGACAACGCGTGGGCCCTCGTTTTTTCTCGCGGCTTCCCCGCTGACGACGGCGGCCCTTGTGGGCGCGACGTGTTCGGCCCGCCGTGCAAAACCCCGTGCGCGCTTGTCTATACCTTTGGCAAAGTGGCTCTGCTCGTGGATCTCTCTGGGAACCTCCAGGGTCGCCGAACAGTTTCACGGCAAACTGTTTTTGACATGAAGCGGCCAGGTGCCAGTTCGGGCAGTATCGGGTCGTTGTGGCGCGGTGGAGGCGCTGCTCAGTCAGCGCGAAGCTCGAGCATGCGCGCAACAGGGTCAATTTGTACAGCTTCGCTGTTAAGAGTCTGGCCGTTTTCGGGGGATCTCAGACCTAGTCAGATGTTTGTGTCGTGCTGGTCTGATCCGTTCCGTGGCCGTTGTTGCTCCGCAATCTTTCAAGCGCACTTGCCCTCGTGCCACCCTGTGCTGTAATATATATATATATGTACACATATACACACATCTTTCTTGGGGTCGTTGTGGCGCGGTCGAGGCGCCGCCCAGTCAGCGCGAAGCTCGAACTTGCACGCAACAGAGTCAATTCGCACAGCTCCGCTGTTAAGAATCTGGCCATCCTCGGGGGGATCTCATACCTCATTGTCAGCATCATCATCACCATCATCATCATCCTTATCATCATCATCGTCATCATCATCACTATCATCATATTCATCATCATTATACTCAGCATAGTCATCAACATCATCACCCGCATCATCATCATCAACATCATCACCATCATAATCATCACCGCCATCATCATCACAACCATCATCATCACCATCATCATCAGCATCACTATCATCAACATCATTCTCGCCCTTCGTCTCCTCCTCATTCTCGTCCTCCCCCTCCTTCTCCTTCTCCTCCTCCTCCTTCTCCTCCTCCTCCTCCTCCTCCTCCCCCTCCTCCTCCTCCTCCTTCTCCTCCTCCTCCTCCTCCTCCTCCTCCTCTTCCTCCTCCTCCTCCTCCTCCTCCTCCCCCCTGTCCTCCTCCTCCTTCTCCTGGTCCTCTTTTCCTCCTCCTTCTCCCCCTCCTCCTCCTCCTCGTCCTCCTCCTTTTCTTTTTCCTCCTCCTTCTCCTCCTCGCCAATCTCCCCACTGTCCTGCCTGCTCTCACCATGCAGCTCACTTGCCTCTCGGCCGGGGCACATCAATTTTCCTCGGCGCCGTTGCCGCTTCGGTCGGCATGAGCGCGCTCTCCGATGGCTGGATCGTGAAGCGGTTGGGATAGTGCCGCGGGCGAGGCCGTTGGGACAACCCCGCGAGCCGTTCGGACTTGGAAAGGCACCCGTTTGATACTTCCCCCATATTCAGGTTTGAGGAGCCCCAAAGTGACGACAAGTAAAGGTTTTCGGGCAACCAGCTCGGACTTGTAGCATGATCAGCGGGCCCCATAGGGAGGGCCCCCTCGCCTGAGACTTCTTCGTGGTCCACTCACATACGAAGCTCCCGCCTCATACTTCCTCCATATTCCAGCCTCAACAGTTCAAAAGTAATATCAAGTACATACTATTGGATAACATGCTCGGGTTGGTAACATAATGTGCGGGCCCCATAAGGAGGGGCCCCCCGCCTGAAACTTCCCCGGAATTCTTGACGCTTCGCGTATCCCCACCAGCCCATCCAGAAACGATTGCCCTGTGAGTTGGTTCGTCAGGGATGCCTGGAAATACGTGGTCGCATAGCCGTTTTGGAAGCGTCCACATTGAATGGGCAGTGCCCTGGGACCAGAAAGCAATGACCACACATAGCTTCGAGCAATGAAGTTGTTCGCCATGGTTTTCCCAGTGGGAAGCGTGTCTGGCGCAGGTTGCTGTATCTACGATCCGACGGCAGTGTTGCGCAGAGTAGAGTTGCATTTCGATTGGCATCCTTGGTCTTAGCTCTTGCACTGATTCGTATATTTAATTAGTGTGATTTTTGAAATTGCTCAGGTGCTGGTGCTGCTGCTGATGCTGCTTCCGATGTTCGTGTCGTTGATGCTGTTGCTGCTATTGCTGGTGCTGGTGTTGGTGCTGTTGCTGGCGCTGCTTTCTGTGGTGCTCCTGCTGGTGGTGGTGCTGCTGCTTGGGCAATTTCGGGGGTATGTGGAGGAGTAGCAGTAGGAGTAGTAGGAATAGCAGGGGGAAGAGGAGGAGGAGGATGAGGAGGAGGAGGAGGAGGAGGAGGAGGAGGATGAGGAGGAGGCGGAGGCGGAGGCGGAGGCGGAGGCGGAGGCGGAGGAGGAGGAGGAGGAGGAGGAGGAGGAGGAGGAGGAGGAGGAGGAGGAGGAGGGGGAGGAGGACAGGAGCAGGGAGGCGGCAGGAACAAAAACAATGAAGGACCAGACGATGACAAGGAGGACGAGAAATCGGGCTTTGGGGATATGTCGTGGTGAGGGGTTCTTTGAAGACTCGTAATGCCATTTCGGCGGCATCTTGGGGCCCTCCCCTCTCGGGGTCCTCTTGGAGCCTTCTTGGGGCCCTCTTGGGTCTTGGGGCTCTCTTGGGGTCTTGGAACCCCTTCTGGGGCTTTTTTGGGGGTCTGGGAGGCCTCTTGGGGCCGTCTTGGGCCCCATTGTTGAAAAGGGGGGGGTCTCAATTCCCGTCGCCCTCTCGGAGGCTAACATTTTTGGTTGGGGCCCTCTAAGCCCGCTCTTGGAGCGCTCTTGGACGCTCTTGGGGCTGTCTTAGGGGGCCTCTTGGGCCTCTCTTGGGGCTGTCTTCGGCAGTCTCAGGGCCATCTTGAGGCCTCAAGAGCCCATCGGAGGCGAAAAAGCGAGAAGGCCAAACACATTGATTTTCCTTTCTGGTTTTTGACGGATTTTGGCCTCTTGGGGGGGTCCTTGGAGGGCTCGGAGGGCGTTTGAAACCGTTGTGGGGCCGGTTTGAGACCTCTTGGATGCGTGTCGCATGCTACCTTGAGCCATCTTGAGGTGTGTTGGGCGATCTTGGAGACCATCTTGGGCTATCTAAAGCCCTCTTGGAAGTATCTTGGGCCAAGAAGGACCCTCTGCCACCTCGCGGGGGGGCCCGTCCAGACCCACGGAAGGGGGGGGGTAAACCTCCCGAGCAGGGAAAGGAAGGAGGTTGGAAAATGAAACGCCCTAGACCACTTGCGCCCAGAGGGCTGGTGGAGTTTACTCACAGACGAGGCTCCCGCCTTATATTCCCATCATATTCAGGCCTGATTGTCCCCAAAATGACGACAGTTACATGTTTGCGGACGACCCGTTTGGATTTGTAGCGTGATCTGCGGGCCCATGGGGAGAAGGCATTTGTTTGAGACCTCCTCGCAATTCACTCACATACGAGGCTCCCGCATAATACTTATCTCTTCCATGTTCAGGCACGAGGACCCCCCCAAATGACGACGGTTACAGGTTTGCGGCTGACCCGCTGGGACTACCACCCTGAAGTGCGGGCCCCACAGGGCGGGGGCTTCCGCCTGAGACTCCCTCGCGATTCACTCACAGAGGAGGTTCCCGCTTGATACTTCTTCCATGTTCAGGCTTGAGGACCACGAGTAGTGATGACAGTTACAGGTTTGCGGATGGCCCGTTCGGATTACCAACGTGAGTGCCGGCCCCACAGGAAGGGAGCTCCCGCCTGAGACTACTTCGCAATTCACTCACAGACGAGGTTCCCGCTTGATGCTGCTTGAGGACCGCAAAAAGTAATGACAGTTTCAGGTTTGCGGGTGACCCGCTCGGATTACCAACGTGAGTGCGGGCCCCAAAGGAAGTGTGCTCCCGCCTGAGACTCCTTCGCAATTCACTGACAGACGAGGTCCCTGCTTGATACGTCCTCCATGTTAAGGCATGAGGACCGTGACGACAGTTACAGGTTTGCGGATGACCCGCTCGGATTGACAACATGAAGTGCGGGCCCCATTTGAGGGGGTTCCCGTCTGAGACTTCCTTGACCCACCGTTCTGGTGCAGTGCAACCTTTGCGCCCAGCCCAGCACGCGGGGGAAGCGAGTCGACGCGCCACAGGCGCGGCTGGCAGGTCCCGCGTGCCAGCCTCTACCGTGCGCCCTGGCGCGATACCGAGTGGGGGCAGCTGCGGAACCGCAGGGCGGATCGCTTCGAGACCTGGCTCGAAGTCGCCAACCAGCTCAAGGGCAACTGCGACGACCAGGGCAAGGGTAGGGGCAAGGGGCGCTACAAGCCAGATGGCAGCGAAGAGTTCTGCGTGCGCTTCTTGTCGGACCTGGCAGACTGTCACCACGACATCCGGGCCATCTGCCGCCGCCGCCGAATGTGGGTGGATTGGGGCGAAGGTATGACACCAACAGCAAGATCGGCAGGTGCGCAGCGACGAGGGAAAAGCGCAGGTGGCAAGCGCTCCAGCGACGCCTCCTGGCCCTCCGGGAGCCACTTGCGCCTGCGCGGGAGTTGGCCCCCGGCTGGGCTCGACGCTGGCGCGACGGGCCCCCGCCGCCAACGGGCTCTGCGGGACCAGGCCCGCGTCCCCAGGCAGACGATCGGCCGCGCCGGTCTCGTGCTGCACAGGCGGCGGCTCCAGCCGCTGCCAGCACCGCGCGTGTCCACCTGGTAGCCCCGCTGGCGCTTCCCTCCAGGGGCGCCTGTCCTCCAATGTGGGCGCCCTCCTGGGTTCGCAAGCGCGCTCGTCCCGAGCCCTGGACGGGGCGCCTGCCCTCCAAGGTAGACGCGCGCGCTCCTTTTTGCCTTTCTGCATGCTCTTGCGCCGATGGGGTGCCTCCAGCGTTAGTGCTGCCAAGGTTGAGTCGGGCCTGTCCCTCTACAGGGGGAATATTCAAAAATAGTAAAACAAATAGTCTGGGGACTTTTTTTTGGGGGGGACTATTTTGGAGTATTTTGGGGGTATTCTTAATTTTTCGCCTAAAATCCCCCTGCAGGGGGACATGCCCGACTTAATGCCAAGGCGACGCGCTCTCCAAGTCTGTTCCTTCCTTGTGCCCAGGCCCGTGGCGTCTGCCCTCCAGGGTGGGTGCCCCCCTGCTCCGCTGCGCTTGCGCCCATCGGGTGCCCCTTGCAGCGAGGCGCCCCCCCTGGCTCCCCCCCCTCCTCCTCCTCCTCCTCCTCCTCCTCCTCCTCCTCCTCCTCCTCCTTCTTCTCCTGCTCTTCTCTGCTCACTGCCGGCTCGTTCGCCGATCGGGTGCCCTGGCCCGCGTGCTGCCCTCCCAGGCGGCGCGATCGGCTCCGCCTGCTGCGCTGGCCCGCCGCTCCCGCGGCCGGGCCCCGGCCGCAGCCTGGCTGACCCCGTGGCCACGCTGCTGCGCGCTCCGCTCGGCTGCGATGCGCGCGCTGGTCGGGCAGGGCGCCTTCCCTCCCTCTCCTTCCCCCCCCCCTGCCCAGCGCCGCCCTGGCGCCGCCCGGGCCGCCGCCTCGCGCTCCCAGCGCCGCCCTGGCGCCGCCTGGGCCGCCGCCGCGCGCTTCCAGCCAGCGCTTCCAGCCTCCGTTGCCTGGCCCCGGCAGTCGTCAGCAGCCTTGTGGCTGTTTCGGCGGCACTTTGCTGCCGCCCGCGCGCGTTGGCGCAGCCCACTGCGGGCTTCTCGCGCCGTCGCCTGAGCGTTGGTCCTGCGTCCAGCTGGTGCCAGCCCTCTGCAGTAAGACCCGACGTTCTCGGCAGCGTGACGGGCAACCGGATGCTCCCGCTCCCGCAGCTCCGTGGCTCCTCTCCCTGATATACTTCCTGGCGGGCTGGCGCACCTTGCCCTGCACGTTCCCAGCGCCTGCAGCCCTGGCCTCGGTCTTTGGGTCTGGCCGTGATGCCGTCCCGCGTCCACTGCCAGGCCTCTTCGGCCCTGGCTGGCCGCCCCGGCGCGCTCATTCTGCAATGCTTGCAGCCGTGAGTGCCCTCCCCCTCCCCCCCTGTGCTCCGCGGCCGCTCCTCCTCCCCGCGCGCCCCCTCGTGCAGCTGGATGCTTCGTTTGTCGAGCGCCCTCGACAACTCGAGCGCCCGCGCGGACTGCCCTTGCCGTGCCGCGAGGAGGCATGCTTGGAGGCCCGCCGGGTCGCTCTGAATGTTCTGCCCGCCTGATCCGTTGATTGGGGTCCGTCCACCCGATTCGCCCGCTGGGTCCGCCCGTCCGATCCGCCCGTTAGGGTCTGCCTGCCATGTTCCGTTCTTCGCCCCTTTCCTGCCGAGTTTTTTTCGTTCTCGGTTCTCCTATCTCCTTCTTGCCCCCCTCTCCTCTCGTTTCCTCCCTTCCTTGCTCTCTCCGTGTCCCTTCTCGATCCTTCCAATCGTGACCCGCGCCCAAGCGTATGGCACGCCCCTTTGGTACCGACCCTCGAGTCTGCGTTCACGGGCGCTGCCGATAAAACAAGTTCTTTCTCTCTCTCTCTCTCTCTCTCTTCCTGTTTTGGAGGCCGCGCCAATGACGCGCGGCAGTCAAGGAAGATATGCCCCCCCCCAGGGAGGTACGGTCGAAGACGAAGAGGGCCAACGTCGCGCCCAGTGCAATCGACGTGCGCATCGACGTGCGCATCGACGTGCATGCACCTCGAAGTGCACATCGCCTTGTCGCCAACCTGCGGATCTCAGTCAAACCGAGTTTCAGGTTCTCATTGCGATCGGGCAAGCCAACATGCAGATCGACGCGCAAAGCGGAGTGCACATCCGATCGACATCGAAATGCAAATCGTCATGCGTGCCGGAATGAAAGCATGATCATCTAACCGCACAATAAGTACGAAGCGGGATGCCGATCCGACCGCTATCGAACTCCGAATCCACTTGTAATCGACATGCGCATCGAAATGCAAAGCGAACTGCGAATCCGCCTGCAATCGGAATGTAGCTTGAAACGAGAGTTCCTGACCCTCTCCAACCTCCGTATGTGAGGGTCCTTGAGGTATTATAGGCGAGGGGAAATGATTGGCGAATCTCTAGTGGCATCGATCGTTGCTTCGGTCGTCACATGGAACGTTCTTTCGAAGCATCAGTCGTTGCTTGTGCGGCTCGGTACAGCGGAGCTGTATGAATGGCTGTCGTGATACTCGACGCGTCGCGAGCCAAGTGGCATGCCTTGGATGTCTGACCGAGGCTGCCCAATCAGCAAATTCGCGTCCACGCCGCAGCTCTTGCTACAGTGTGGCCTCACAGCACCTGGCGTCAACATAGTGGCTGCCAGGGTGCGCTAGGCCAAGGTGTGGACGTGGGCGCGTCGATCCTCCCAGCCTTCTCTTTTTCCCTTTCAACGTCCCCTACCCAACTGGCACCTATGCACCACTACCATGCCTGGTCAGGGCCATCCTGCGACCTTGGATGGTGTGCTAAACTGCATGGCCTCGGCCAGGAGAGCGTCAACAGCACGCGCGTGCCCGGGACGGCCCTGGCCACGGAGTGTGGCGGTGCGCAGGTGCCTTTGTCGGATTCACCCTCCTGTGCATTCTCCCCAATCCCTGTCGTCCCCGCATCCCCCTGTCCCAGTCCCTGTCCCAATCCCCAATCCCAGTCCCTGTCGTCCCAATCCTCCGAATCCCCAAATCCCCAATCCCTGTCCCAATCCTCTGTGCATTCTCCCCAATCCCAGTCCCTGTGGTCCCCAATCAATTTCCTCCCTCCATTGCTCTCTTGACGTTCTCAGAGCTTCACAGCCATGCTTCCGCCCCAGCTCGTACGGGTTATTGGGTGGCTGCAGGAGTGGACTCTCGACGCCACGCCTCTGTCTTGACAGGGGCACATCTGAGCTGAGGTTGAGTTTCGGCGGTCTGGTCGACAATGTCGATTGCCGCAGAAACAGGCATCGTTTTTCAGCCAATCCTGACCAGCCCATCGGGAAAAGATCGCCAGGCGAGTCGCCGTGACCAGGAACATGTAGGAGAATCCAGCGGAACAGACAAGCGGGTCAGCCGCCAATCTGGAACGCGAAACTTTTGGCGCTTTGCGTATCCCCACCAGCCTAATTCAAAGGCTGCCGCCTCTGCCGCCGACCCCAAATGAGGCCTTGTGTTTTGTTTGTTTTCAGTGTCGCTGCGAGCGGTTCCCGAACAGCGGGGGAGTGAGGAGGGCGGTATTCATGTTGAGTAAGTGACGACGCGGGCAGCGCTGCAGCGGGAACGCGATACGGAACGAGCGGGAGCCGGGGTAGACTGCGCTTGTGTATGTGTGGGCGTGTTTGTGTGCGATCGTGTTTTTTCTCCTCTCTCTCTCTCTGTCTCTCTCTTTCTCTCCTTTTTTTTTTTTCTCTCTCTCTCTCTCTCTTTCTCTCTCCGTCTCCCTGTCTGTCTCTCTCTCTCTCTCCCTCTCTCTCTCTGTAGACCGTGTCGTCCCGCCACTATTCCTTGTTTATTTTTTTTGTGGCTGTTGTAAGTGTGAAGGGGTGGAGTTGTCTGGGCTCCCTGGAGGCCTCTGTGTTTCTTGGAGTGTTTTTTGGGCGCCTTTTGGCGGCCCCCTGTGCCTTCTCGGGGCGGTCGAGCGTGGGTCCTGGACCGTCTTCAACGCCGTGGAGGCCGCCAATTCGTATATGAGTACATTGATTGTGTTCTAGACGGATTTGACGATTTGGGGCATGGGGCCCCTTCTGGGTGTCCTGCTTCAAGCCTCTTCGGTCGTCTTGGAGACTTCTGTGGTCGTCTTGCGTCCATCTCGGGCGTCTTGGGTCCATCTTTGGCCGTCTTGGGGCCGTTTTGGCCCGACGTGGGGGCTGTCCTGGACCCTCTTGGCCCGTCTTGGTGTGCTTTTGTCTCCGAAGCAGTCGCGCGACAAGACGCGGTAAGGCCGAAGGGTCACGCGGGAAGCCCTTTTTCATATGAGAATTCAGAGTCCGGGTCGTTTCAAGGCTCCTCAGGATGAGGACAGAGGTACCCGACCCGAGGGTACGCCCATGCCGTGCCCGAGGCACGGTCGCGGATTACGATCCGTCTTGACGTGCGTTCAGTGACCCCTTGGTTTTTTTTTGGGGGGGGGGCGGTCGCTGGTGTTGGGGGGGGGTCAGTTGGAGGTTCCGCGTGGCGGCCTCAGGGCAGCATGGGTTGTGTGGATGCCATCTCAGACGTTCTGCGGCTTTTTTTGGGGGTGGGCGAGTCGGGATTCTCTGGGATTGTCTGTGGGCCTTCTTGGGAGGCCTCAGGGGTTGTTTTTTGGAGCTCAGGAGCGAGCCGAGGG